GGTTATCGTTTTTCTTTTATCAAGAACAAAGAGGGATTGCTTCTTTTCATCCCATACATTCCTTTATAATGATTATCAGTTTCATACAATACCGTAGAGAATTTGGCCCCTAGAGATGTTTATGATGCTCACAATCGAAAAAAAAAATTATAAGCGCTCAGCTATCTGTAAAAGCTGGAACTCATGTTCACTCAACATTTAGAAAGAAGCAAGCCTGTTCCCTTAGAGATTCAAGGATGAAGTAGAACCAGCTTAAGCTTTGTTTGAGCTGGATAATACACCCTGTATGCTTTTTTGTAAAGGTTCTTTGTAATTAATGAAAGACCAACAACAGCGTATTGCATTCCTAAATCTTAAAGTTGTTTATTTACATAATGCAGAAAGAACTCAATTTATCATAACTAAGTATGTTCTCTCTGTTCAACACCGACCTAGCGTCAAAAAGAGAGGCGTTTCTTTAAAGAAATGAACGCTCTACTGCGTTTTACAGTTATTATGTAATCAATGATATAATGAAAGATTGCAAGAAAATTATATAACAGTTAACCTTTGATGTATATAAAAGATTTAATTCAATTTCTGCTTGTAGTACAATCTACTTTTCAATGCTACGTCAAGTAGAAAGAGTTAAATTTTGGTTTGTAGGATTTTTTTCACCAGATATTACAAACCGATTCTCGATTTGCCAGTAAGTGGAAACACGGTGCTATTAGAAGGTGAAGGGATCGAGGGCATGTCACTGATCATCACGTACAGAAGATCACTCCGTTAGCTTTCGAGTCATTCGTTGATTTAGCAGAAAAATAGGCGAACGTGGTCATATTTCAGAGTCACTCAATACTAAAAGACGATTGGCATAGAAATATTTCACCAAACAGCTAAAGAACTGACTAACCTTTTCTTGCAAAAATTGTTCTAATGATATGAAAGTGCGGCAATTAACAAAGACTGCAGCGAAAATGACGTGAAAATTTCTTGATAACTTTATTGATTTGGAGAGGCGAATCATACTTTGTGACAAATATGTGAAATTGACGTGTAGCGATGTTTGAATAGAGGCATTGACGGTTTTTTTTTCTAAGTTGGAGAACAACAAGCTCGCCAGTCTCAACAAGTTCTTATGGACATACTATGATCGCTTTGAAGACCACAAAACTGCCAAAGGAACCTTTACTCTCTTGGACGAAATAAAAGATCGGAATAGAATGGGAAAAAGCTGTTGTTGAGTACAGGAAGGTGAAATAGTCGGCGAAATAGAAGGAGACTGCTCCTATTTTCATCCCAAGTCAAAACATAACAAAACGTAATAATTATAAACAAAAACCGTATGTTGTCAGGTATTAAAAGAAATAAAAAGCAATGTAAAACAGTTGAACACAAAACCTTAAAAAATCGGTTGAGGCAAACAAAATGTCTTGTAAGAGAGTTCAAACGAATTTCTTGAAATATATGAAACTTTAAAATTGGTTTTGTCTTGTAAATCATCCAGACTTATCTAAATTACGAATTCAATTCATTCGACAAAGATCACACCAGTTTGTCAATACTCCATCTCACATTCAAAAGCAAACCTTCCAATATTGTTGTTGAATTTTCGAATAATTGGCTCTGAAACTTCTTTTATCACTCTGGCTCATATGAAATCAGATGTTCTCACTCGTCCTTCACGACAAGCGAGGAGAGCCACGCTAGTGTAAGCGTGAACCTTCAATTTTCAAAATCGCGACTCCAGTAGGAAGTGAAAGTAAATTCGCACCAAGTCAATAAGCAATATCAGTCTTTTACACCATTTGCACGAAATGTAGCGTTCCTTTTGCGACATTGGAAAGTGAGAGAAAAAATAAATCGCGATCTCAAATATATCATTAATTTGGTACGGTCATTGTAAAACTCTCCATTGAAGCTTTTAAGGCCAAATACTTCGTTTGCGAAGCGATGGTACCAAATAACCATGTCATTTTACACAGCTCTGTTGCTAAACTACATTCTGACAGTGGTAATTACTGCTCTCTATCAATAATGGTTTATCGATAGTTTATGTCTATTAAACAGTCGAAGCCTCATGTATTGGAAATATCGACTTGTAGTAAATTAAGCACTTACTTATGAAGTTCTCGTAGAAATCTTCTGGAATCTCTTCCTGGAAACATCCTTCAAGTAAACTGCACGCGCGAAGAGCCACTTTCGCGATTACATCTACGCCGCCAACGAATTATACTCTTCCAATATTTAAACTTGTTAACCACAGCAGTACGCCATGTACCTATAGTTAAGCTAATTAATGGCTTCCATGGACCCACATGGCCCGTGGGAATTGACTGTAAAAGCGTAATGCCTCGAGATTCATTAAGCATGGAATGAATGGTTTAAGTGAGTATAAAACGGAAGTTCATCGTTCACGTCAGGAGTCAAGCAGCCCTCTATGATCGTGGAGGCTTCTTTGAACATGGCGTCTGTCGCTGGAAATATACATTTCAAGATACTTACAAAGAATTAGATGTGAAAGGAAAGGGTTTATCTTGTCGTGTTGTTTAGTAAGCACTGGAAACAACAAAAGAATTAGGAAACATTGATTGGTAATGGCATTCAATCAAACCAATTTGACAAAGTGATCAGGATGTGACCGGCGCCATTCAAAGAGGCCGATGCCAGTTTTAAGAGTGGTCATTTTAAATCACTACATTCATCGCGTCCGGAACTAAAAACGCAACTGAAAGTTAGATGGCAATTAAAAAGAATGAAATTCTTCGACAATATCTATTTCACGCCATAACGAAAGAACTATGGAGTTAATAGAGAAGTTTCATGTTGCTAGAACGGTTGGGAATGTTATGGAAAAAAAGGATTCTCGACGGTGAAAAGAACGAATCAACTTGATTGATATTCGTGTTCCACGGCGACGATCTTTTCTCCAAAATGGAAACGTGTTACTCCGGTATCCAACGAAAAAATAATCACAAGTATTAATTCAAGTTTTCACCTTTCGTCAAGTTTTTGTTTGTTTGTTTTTTTTATAGTCTCTGCCGTAAAATGGCAACGGGAAAACAGACTTTTACACTTTAAAATACATTTAAACTTACCTTAAAGGCGGATGCCAACTCATTTCAAATCTTTTCATTCTGAGTGGAAGAGGCTCCCGCCAACACGACACGTGTTCGTCGTATTATTGAAGTTCCGTAAGTCATCGTCCACCATTTGTTAAGTTTCATTACCTCTTGACATGTTCTTTTTCTCTTGGGTCTCATTTTGAGCCCACTGACCGCCCGTCATTCTCATAGTCGACGTTCTATCTGTTTCTTGGCAGCTATTTTGTACAGTTTGATGTTTGTCTTCGGGGATGTATACTGCTGCAAAGAGTTGCGGCGGTTCCCATCCCTCCTCGATAAAATTGTTTGTTCAGCGAAATAAGCTAAGATACCTTATGAGTCATTCTTGACTCCATTAAACATCATAAAATAAGCTGAATTACACACGCAATTTGATTGGTTCTTACCTATGATCTATTGGAGAACAAACGCAGAGATGACGTCACCATTAATATCACTTTGCTTCTTCATAATAATATATAAAACAAATAGACTCGATGTTGCCATGTGTCTGTTCAGCAACAGAGAACAGCAGACGTCAAAATGTGATAGGAACATCAGCGACATACCCAGCTACACCTCGTGTGCCACTTTCTAGTCCTTACCACGTTTTTACGTCATCTGCGATCTGTTACTGAACAGAAGTACGAAAACATGGAATATATTTGTTAATTCAAATACTTTTTAACTGTGAAAAACGACATACTTGACAAATGTTGCGCTCCACGTGGTCTCACGTTTCCATTAAGAACATCAACAGTCAGGAATCTACTCCGATTCCCTTCCGTGCGGTCCCTTCAACCAAGAGCAGGTATGGCGTGGTCTTCTTCAAAATCTGGTGATACCTTTATACAATTCACCTGTTCTGCACTGAAGATACCAGACTCCAGCTTAATATCACTCTCGCTTTCATCTCAAGTACATAGATTTAAAATTTTTGCGTATTTTTTTCAGCTAAATCTGTTCGAGGCTCTTACGGTCAATCTAGATCCATTTTCCCAATACGAGAAGTTTTTTTCATAATTCTTCCGCTGCTCTCCTACCAAGTTTTTTGTTTTGTTTTGTTTTTTTCGTTTATCTTTTTTCAATCCTAATTCCAGAATTTTTGGGAGGAAAAGAGAAATTGGGGTTAATCATAAACCCAGCAGATGGGAAAATTTGTCACGCAATCTTCAGAGTTTCCCTGATCAGTCAGAGCTTCCATTTCATTAAATTAATGGATATAGCGGCCCCAGAAATTTGAATGTTTTTTCTTGTTCAATATCTTTGCCTTGACGATTTCAACTCAATAAAATCCAAACCACTTGAGCAGTAACTCGATTAAATCACCTAGGCATAAACTATCAGAGCTAAATACAAGCTGTATGATCTAATACCGGTTCTTATCTTTCCATTTCCTTTGCTCTCTACATGCAATAGGCCAACAGTCGCTTGCGGTGTACCTGTGCTGTCTATAAATTCACCAAAAACGAAGCGATTTTCGATGTGTTCGATTACCGGAAATTTTCTCATTCATTGGTGGGGAAGAAAGGCAAAAAAAGAGAAAGTATGCTTCGTTCAGGAAGAAATCGTGACTCCGATGGCGACCTCCGAGATACTCACAGACTATACCCATTGAAACCGATAAATATTAATTCTTCAGATATAGCTTCTGTCATCACTGGCTTAGGTTCTCTCTCTTGCTACGACTCTGCTAAAATTCGATTTCAAGCCAGGATCAAACTTTGCTTCATACCTTTTGTAATTTTAAGTTAGATCCAACTCTTTTCTGATTGAATATTTCTTCAGAGATTTGTCATCTGTAGCTTAATCTTACTTATTACTTGCTTGAGTTTAGCGATAGTTTAGCCCATACCCAGTCCTTTTCAGTCGTTCCAACATATTTCCCGTCATTCCTTGCGAGATGAAGCACGTATTAACTTTGCTGACTCAGTGTTGTGTCAGTGAAGTTGATATGAGAGAAGAAAAACTTCAATAAAGCTAAAATAATTCTCGAATGCACTCCTTTCTCTTGACCAAACATGACAGATAGTCAGGAATGTGATGACCAGATGTTAATCGAGGACGACGGGCTTCGCTGTGTTGTCAAAATGGAACCTGAAGCAAGGGAGATTTCAAAGAGAATCATCTTGTTAATAGCGTGCTTGAGTGCTCTGTGTGACTGCCTTCTGTTGTCTGTAATCGGTATTTATGGACAGTTTATTTTTTGGTTATTTTCTACCTCTTTCATCAACTCATTAACGCGTAATTTTGGCGGGCGTGCTTAGTATTTTGATTTTAACGACACTGGTAGGCTGGGGAGAGAAAGAAATTTGTACCGAGGGGGCGGTCGACGGTCAAAAATAAGGAGGAGGGGTGGGGGTGGGGAAGTGAAGATTACCCATGCCTGAAGTCATTGTTATTTTGCAGAACTCTGTTTGTGGGCAAACATATGTGTGTTTTTTTTTTTGTCAGAAGACAGTGCTTCCGGTTTTTAATTTAACTCATTTTGATTGGTTTATTGCTAATTTCCAGAAATGCAGTGACGCGCAACTAATTATGGGGTGTTTTGCTTTTCAACAGTCTCTTCAGGCAGGCATCTTCTTGCCTTTCCTCCACCCCCTACCCCTCCCCCTACTGTCCACTCTAACTCCAAACCAAACATGGCCAGTTGGATAAATGATTGGGAGCTTATAACATTGGCTGGTGCTAATAAGATGCCTGTACTGTAGGCTACTCATAATGCTGAGGAAGGGGTTTGTTCAGCTTACATGTTTCCTTACTTTCCTAATTTTTAATCTGGCCCTCAGAGGTGATTTACATGTAAATTCTCCTTGGGACTCCAATATGTTATTATGTTTAAGGTAATGAGAACAAGTAAGCTTATCATCTAGAGGATGTTCTCTTGATATGATCCCTAATTCCTCTGTCTTACTTAAAAGAAACTTATTTAACTGTTCCCCAGAGAACACTAAAAGATCACAATAATAATTTTTTTAAAAAATTTTTTAGTTTTTTTTTTAAGTTTAGCCAGTGAGCTACACTTCTGCAAACAGGAAGTTGTATCACATATTGTATTTCTCAAACAGTAAAAAACACATTGCTACTGGTATGAAAAGGTGCAGTTGGTTGTGTTAACAAAACTTCCTAATGAATTGTGTGTTAGTCACACTAACCAGGTAGGAGAAATAAAAAAAGTTGTACAACTACCTGTTTGCAGAAGTGCAGCTTCTTGGCATAACTCAACAAAAAGTCATTTCTGTGACTCCCCAGAAATAAATTCATAAAAATGTTATCACATAAAGGAAAGGGCATGGTTTTGAACTTGCTTGGCTCTATGGGATTAGGGAGCCTTTCTTGATTTCTGCTGTGGCTTATGCCTTTGAAAAATAACTTGCACTGTTACGAGAAACTCTTTCAAATTTCACACTTTCCTGAGATTGCAAAAATATTTGGATTCATTAATTATGGTTATGTGTTTTGTCTTTCTGCAGTACCAATTATACCAGTATATTTGGATGTAACTGAAATACCAACAACTAGACCACAGATTGCTGCCAACTCAACAAGCAACAAAACATTTGCAACTGTTTCCCCATCAACAGTAATAGACTCATCCATGGATCTCAAAATTGGGGCTCTATTTGCATCCAAAGCCTTTGTTCAGGTTTGTTCTTTTGATTTTAATTGAAGTTGTAGAGAGTACCTTAGTACCTAATCCTTTATCCTGAATATCAACTCTTTTCTATGGTAAATGCTTTCCAAAATAGCAAAGTTACTAAATTACAATATGGGATTAAACACAATATTTGTTTTAAATTGCAATGTTTCGGGGTAACCATTAAATAGTCTTCCACACTGTTGCAGCAGTGATCTCAAGATCTCATTGATAATTCTCTCTACTGTCTGCTGTACAGTTCTTAAAATATTAGTTTGAGGAATGTTGGTATTGGATCAATTAATAATCTCTAATTTATATTTTTTCTATTTATTCTCATTACTTGTCTGCTTGACAAGGTATCAATATTATAAGGAGAAATTCTGTCATGGTCACCCATGGGACATTAAGGGTTTAAAGACCCGTATCCATTAAACATGACTAATGCATTTTGAGAACCTCCCTAACACATTGCTGCAGAAAGCCATTAATCCTAAATATTATTTATTATGTGGTGTTATTCTGTGAGACCAAAAAATCAATTTTATTCAGTTAGTAACAAGAATGTAAAGTGCAAATCTAAATTTATTTTCTGTCATTTTATGGATGCTATTAATTTAGCTGAATTTAGTAGATAAGATACCGTAGATATTAAACAGCATGTTTTGCCAAGAAGATCATCTTGAACCATTCAATAATAATTTTACCTGTACTATCTTACAGATTATGGTGAATCCAGCAGCAGGGCATCTAACAGAAAGGTATAAGGAAACTGGTTAAAAAAATTAATTATGATTTTATTATTAAGTTTCATAATTTTCAATAATGTGATTACATCGTGTAGGTATCACCTTACTCACACTTTTGAAAAAAGGTTCAGGTTTTCTCCAAAGCCTGATTGGATTCATTCAATTAACCTCTCAAAGGAATTCACTTCACTTTTATACGAAAGAAGGTTTCTTCATTCAGAGGTGATAACAGCTCTGTTTCAAAACTGAGAGGAAATTCTTGCACATAATGACTAAAAATTGTGGAAATGTACACCCTTTGATTCAAATGGTTGATTATAAGTTACCTGTTATAATTTTAATTTGCAGAGTGGGTTACAGCATCCCATTATACAGTGGTTTTTGTGTCTTATTTGTATCAACTCTGGGTAATAACTATATTCTGGAGTTTTACTTAGTACATGTACTAGCTCATGTGAGCAACCCATAAATATGAATATTAATGCAAGCAGACATATATCCTAATACCCCATTCTCACCGGCAAAACATGTTTGGTGAAACTGGGTTTGGCTGATCAAGAATCAGAAACAGAGATCTGAAAAACTGAATTTTTCATAGGCTGCAATACATGTAGTCACTGAATTTTATTTTCAATGTGTTCAATTTTAAGGCAATCAAGATCAGTTTAAGGAGCTACTATGAAGAAAATAATTTTTATTTTACTGTGTTTGACAAAACAGCCTTTAAAAAATGTGTTTACAAGCTTTGGTGTGATCACTGTATTACACTATAAGCATTTCCTTTTTGTGTGTGGTTTTACATGTACGTGGTGTAAATTCAAATCATTTTGATTGCCAATTTAGTATTTGTTCACCACAGTTAAAGGTAAACTGTCTTATGATCTACTGTAAATGTCTGTTGCGATTTGATTCACTCATTTGGGTTGTGTAGATTTGTCAAAGTATGTATCCCTTGTCATAAGGATTTTTCTTTTGCATTTAGTGTATGGCTTTGCATCAGGATATTGGCTTCTCTTTGTAGCAAGGGCCATTCAGGGGTTAGGATCTTCTTTTGTTCTCATTTCTAGTAAGTGATTGTGTACTTAAGTAGTTTTATTGTCTACTTAAGCAGTAGACTGCACTTTCTATCGGTTTATTGGGCCAGGCAGTATAACCTATGCAGGAGCTTGGGAGAACACTGTCTAGAAAAGTTTGTTTATCACAAGCAGGAGGCAGGTGATTTACAAACTCTCTTCATGTTGTCTCAACATTCCAAGTGGCTTATTACACTGGTGAACCCATGGAAAGTGCAATCTTGCTCTTCTGAAATACATTTACAACAAAAACCAATTACATTTTAATTTTCTAGGTTTTTGACTAATCCAGTCAGTTGGAGTATATCAGTTATTTCAGAAAAGTTGAAGAAGCTTTGCCAGTAGTAGAAGCAGTTTCCTCACCTTTTTTTGTTGTTTCTTTTTATTGGTCAACAGCACATAATTATTTTCTGATGACTGTGAGTGTTAAAAATTGAAACTGAAAAGTATGTTCCACCTGCTAAAAATGGATATCTGTACATTACTTTGGCATTATAAAAATAACTAAGAACCTTAATGACAAAGGAAGAGTTTTTTATGAAACTAGTAGGGCTTAATCTATGGTTATGAAGCTGTTTGCTTGTCTAAATTTTTGTTTGTTTGACTGAAATTTTTTAAGGTTTAGCAATGCTTGCAGCTGCCCACCCTGATGATAATGAACGTGGGACAGCAATAGGTATAGCAATGGGAGTGACAGGTCTTGGTGTCCTAGGTATGTATTAGTGAACTAGTAAAGCTATTGATTATGTTGTTAAAGACTGTTTCCCTGAAGTTTTCTAAATCATTTCTCTGTTAGAGGAATGCTGGTGGACCGTGATGATTTGGGCTTCTTTAATTTTTCTCTCCAGTGTGACGATTCTTATAAATTAGATGTTTATTCATCTGGTAAATGGTGGTCATTTTGCCATGGTATTATGTAGTAACAGTGTGATCATAGCTAAGCAGTGCACATTGATACAACAACATATTCTTAACTGATATGGGGGATCCTATAAATCTGTCTAAAGCATAGGGAAATATATTAGTACGGCAGTAACCCTTTTACTCCCAAGATCTGATTGACCAAACATTAAATTCTAGGGAACATGGTGAGTGCTAATAGTCCTAGCTCTTCTTTGGTTTTATGACTGAAAATGTTCTCTTTGCATTTGTAGCTGGGCCCCCCTTTGGAGGATTGTTTTACAGTATTGGAGGCAAGGGCCTTCCATTCTTCATACTTGCTGGTTTCATTTTTTTAACATTTGGTTAGTATAATTATGTTTTTATTGATGGTTCCCATCATTTTGTAAATTGTCTTATTATGAACATAACCTAGTTCTGGGAGGGTCACTTTTATAACTTCCCCCTTGTGACAGGTAACCCTTAAATAAGAGGAAATTGGTAGTCCAAGGTTACAATTTGTGCCCAACAAAATCAAGGCAGTATATAATCACTAAATATCTTATCTATTTGGAAAATTGATTTTAGAGTATGAGACTATTAATGTAAAGGTTGTTTGTATCACTAATAGGTTAGTAAACCTACATTCTGATATAGAAATTTTTTATACTGCATTTTGAATTATCAGCTTAATAGATTATTTACTTCTTGATGAAATATGTGTTGTTTGGCTAGGTGTGGGTGGTTAAAGCAGAAGAAATGAATATGTTTAGTCTTATCATAATTCAATTTTCATTTGTCACTGTGAGACATATTCTAATTAAATTGTGGATTTTTTATATAGTAAGCAGTACTCTTGAATTTAATCCCAGAAAAAATAATTTTAAAAAATTAGCAGAGTGGTCTATAAACATCCAATGTTTAGTTCACTTTAATTATTTTCTTTCCTTAGTGTTGGTGGTTATTAGTCAGAAGCCAGTTATGCCAAAAGATGTAAGTTATGATGAAATTCATCATTCATGCTGAAGTATTCTTGATAAGGCTTAGTATCTTTAACTACGCATTGAACAGAGCCTGATATAGTTAAATGGTTCTTGGAAATGGATGCTTATGAGGAATATTCAGGACAAAAAAGTAGGGGTTACACTAATCTAATGTATGTGAATGATACTCAAATCTTTAAAAAAAATCTTTAAAAACAAATGCTGAAGTTATTTTACAACAGTAAAAATTTGATTTAAAGTAGATGTTTATTTGTAGACAGTAAAACCCACCCTCAAGGACTTGTTGTCAGATCCTTACATTCTGATTGCCAGTGGTAAGTTGGATTAAGGAAATGTGTTACTTGTAGTTTGAAGGAGGCCAGCAGGGATTTTTTTCAAAACTGAGCCTCTGATTGATTAAGAAAACTTCAAAATGCTAGCATCAAGTTTTCACCTCTCCTCACCTACAGTTTTAATTACAACAATCGCCATTAAGTTTTGAAATGTGTGACTCACAACACTGAAGTTTAGAATGCATGGGGATAAAGAAATAATGGTAGTTTTATTTTCACTAACTGGCCACAAGAGTTATAAAATAATCCTTTTCTTATTTTTATTCTATGAGATCTGAAAGCAGTATATCAGTAGCACATAAGTTTGACAGTTTATGTGTCTGCCAAGCAAAGTTTTCTTTCCTCAAATTGTACCAAATGACTCTCTTCATCATATGGACTGGTACATCATTTTGCCAGACTGAGTACTCTTTGCATGTTTTAAAGTATGCTCTCAAAATTCTGAATTGTGTGATTCAGAAAGCAGAGTGTGAGAAGCATACCAGTAGTTTTACTATCACTAACCAGCTGAAAAAGAGTTACCAATCTGTCAGTGACTAATTTTATTCAATGGAATGTGACAGCTGGACATTAAACCTAATACCCCTAAGAGTGAATAGTATCTAATATCTACTTACAGTATCACCACCTAATCAAATATTAAGGTCATGAGAGTAAAGGAAATGGTCACCAACTAGAGAAGCTCTGGATTATGAAGCAAATTCTCCTCACCAGTACCTTAGGGAATGTATAGGGAACAGTATGAAGAATATGCATACTGATGTTAGGGTGGGAAGGGATAAAGCACAAAAATTAGTTGTAGACATTTTACATCATCTACCCTTTAACTGTTGAAGAGTATGCACCCAATTTCTGGATATCAAACTGAGGAACCAAATTGTTTGATCCTAATGACCATTATGTCAAATTTCCCAATTTTAACTATGTAAGATGTTCTTGAGAATTTTTCTGGTCATCTTGAGTAAGGAGAAACATAATGTGATTATGACGTGTTATCTGTTGGTAGGTGCTGTATGTTTCTGCAACATGTCATTTGCTCTGCTAGAACCAACATTACCAATATGGCTATTAGAAACTATGGATGCCAAGAAATGGCAGATAGGTAAGGAAATGAAGTTACAGTTAACCCCTTCCCTTGCTTGGGGGTGGGGCATATAAATTTCTAGGACCTGCAAATAAGGGGGCTAAAGGAGATGAAGGCTTTTTAGAAATGGGGACTCCTTATTGAGGGAATTTTACCAAGTGCCAAAGTGTGAGACAGTATTCTCCTTCTGCACCGTTAACCAGGTTTTACAAATAACCAGTGCCCATCTTTGGTTTATGTGATCAGTAAAGAAAGTGTGCTATTAAATTTAACAGGTGTAAATTAAGAAGTCTGTTGGAAGAGAGATAAAAGATAGCCCAATATGTCTGAACCTGTGTAGCCCAGCTGCTTTTCTTACTGACTGTCCTTTTATAGCTTGACTTCATCTGCTTGACTTTTTTTTTTCTTTGAATAACACTGCCGAACAGAAGAGTTTTTCCGTTGTTGCAAGTAAACTTCATTTAAACTGCGGCCAAGAAAAGGAAGTTTATGGTTTCACATTTTTTTTTTCTTGAAAGTTTGCCATTATAACCCTTTATTTCATATACAAGAGCCAGCTCTCCTTAGCTTGGTCCAAAATTTTGTAATATTTGCCATTGGGAATGAATGGAAGTTGTGTGTAATCAATCTGAAAATGATCTGTTTAAAAAATTTATGGTTTTTCATTTTACAGGTCTTATTTTCCTGCCCTCTACTGGAGCATACCTTATAGCAACACCACTCTTAGGAAAACTGGGCAATATCATCGGCAGGTCTGTAGGAGTGATGCTATATGTTTGAGTACTTATACGTGAGGTTTCAGATTGCTTTTGTCATAACTTGATTTCAGAAAAAGTTGGTAGGGAGATCAAACTGCTGACTTATAATGGTAATAAGACCGAGTGGAGTCCAATTTGGTCCACAATTGTAGCAGTGATTAACAAAATTTGTCGACAGCTAAGCGGGAGTCTGATTTTTCAATAATGAGTATGACAGAAAGTCCTTTTAGCAATCAATCATAATTGTTACAATTTCCAAAAACAACAAATACTTTTAGGACAAATATGTTCAGTGGAGACAATGTCTAAGTAAGAAATTCCTCAACTTTGGAAATTCTACAATTTTTTTTTTAAGATAAGTGCTTGTTGTTATGGTTATTATTATCAATTCTGTGATTGGAGGATTTGACTGATAGGACTGTCAGCCAACTGTCCGATTACGCTGTCGGATTACAACTCTAGAGAATGATTAGTGAACAATAAAGCAGCTAACGCACCAATCACATTTGAGGAAATTGTAATGGTTATGGTTAATAAATGAATGAGAGTGATATTGGCAGTAATGAACACTACTGAAGCAGCAGTGAACATAAAGCTTCGGGTTCATAGTGAACCAGTTAAATGCCCAGCTCCCAGTTGGTAGAGCACTACACCGGTATCGCAGAGGTCGTGGGTTCAAATCCCGAATTTTTTTCAGGCTTTATTTACTGCTTAAGTAGAGTTTATTACTGTAAAGATCACCCTCATTCATTTAACATATTTTATTCTGGACGATCACTTAGGTTAAAATGGAAAAATTGTGAGCTGCGGAAAGACGGTGAATGGTAAAATTGTGTGTTAAAATCTAACACCTTGAAAACAAGTGTTATCTTAACTCAGGAGTGAACTTCTCCTGTTTTGTCTATTTTAGGTGGCTTGCATCTCTGATTGGACTTGTGTTGGTTGCTGTTAGTTTATTTGTGGTGAGTATTTCCTTTCCAATTTAATTCAAAGCTTCAAAGTTACCAAGGCATGCTACTGTCGCATTTAGCAGCCTGAGCCTTTTTCTGTACTACTTTCAGATGATCTGTACTTTCTGGTTTCTAAATGGTGTACTGAGTATAGGCTTTTCGAATTGAGTAAAGACAAACGTGAGAAGAATCTCACTGAAAAGTGGATATGGCAGGCACAACCTAGCCTCTTTCTTGCCGATCGTGTGGAGTCTTCATTCGAAAAATTCCTGCAGGGAAAAAATCCTGCAAAATAAAACACCACAAAACCTTTACCTCTACCTGCAAACTAGGCAGGGGGTTTTTAGAGAAGTTTTTTGTTCAATTTGTTGTCGGTGTTATTACCCTCTAAGATTGTTAAGCTGGAATTGAGTGATATTTATCTGATGGTTAACGAGCAAGCTCTTTCGCAGGGTGATTCATTCTCACCTCTCCCCCGTGAGGAGAGCCAGAAGGAAAGTCAGAAGCATATAACTCAGAATAGGTTATATACTTCTGGTGGTATAGAGCGTGTTGTAAATCATCAAGTGAAGGAAGGTGATGTGCTGTGCTTCGTTCTTTTTTACTTGTTCATCTTCTTGAACAGAAAGATCGCCAGCAAGTTGCAAGTAGCAGAAATTTCGGTTATTACGACCCGTACACTTTTGTTTCTGCAGAAATCAAAATATCGAACATCCGCTTGATAGCACTCACAAAAGCTTTCGTGCTTCACGATAGTATTGATAAGCGGCGGTTTCCTGTTTCATGGATCGTCGCTTGCGAGACTCCACAATGTCCTGTAGAGTGCCAACACCTTCATGAGATTAATCATTTCATCAAGGAATTTCCTTAAGTGAGGGCAGATTTTCCTTGTCACGGAATGGACAGTAATTAACATAAACACATAACTGATGCTTTCCCATCAGCTGTTCTGTATTTTTACACATTGTTCACAGGTTCCGGTTGCGAAGACCCTGGCTGTTCTTGTAGCCCCGCTGTTTGCCCTGGGCTTTTGTATCGGTGAGTTAAGGCCGGATGTGATTCAGTTCATTTTTTACCTTTTATGTTTTCCATGTTCCGCCTTTTCTCAAAAGGGAGTTTGTGCGGAAGTTCAAACACGGCAGGTGGTAATATTAGGGACTTCGAAAAAAACACATCTTGCCCTGAAGATATCAAGTTTTACTTCCGAAAGAGAGGGAAACATACGTTTTTTCAGTGCGGTTTGTTTTCAGTCATCAGCAACTTCAATTTTCTTTAAAATTTTTTCCGACATGATACAAATTTAGATAAGGACGTAGAGCAATTTAAAGGCGGACCTACCAGTGAGAGGATCTGTTCTCGATCAATATTCCATCGTGGGTTATTTTTGTACTCAGTTAAACTAATCGCTGTTTTCATTATAGATTTTTATCGCCTTGTGAGCACGAGATATGATATTTTGTCATTAGTTACCATCGTGAAGGGTAATTTAATGGAGGTTAAGTGTGCAGTGAAGTGATTCAAGAGGAACCCGCTGTGATGTGATTCGACCATGGCACGCAACTTTGTGGATAAGCGGAGAAAATATTAAACTTTCAGTCTTAATAAGGGCAGACTTTTTCGTAACCAAGCACTATTTTATGCAGTGGATTGTAATGAGGTTGCTTCAGTTAGAACCTTCCACTGTGGAGAAGGATTTTTTGCTTAATTTTTGTTGTTATTGGTTTTGGCTCAGTGGGTTTCGTGGGTGTCTATTACTAAGTTGTGACACGCAACTAAATCATTCATGACAGTGTACTTCAATTCAACAAAATGAATACACTCAAGACTATTTAAGATAATTACCGAAGTCAAAGTTGTTATTTCAAGATGTCATAATTTGTGAGTGTGCGTGTATTTGTGTGTGTCAAGCAGAGTAACTTAACAAAGGAGTTTAAACAAAGCCTATTATTAGTGTCGTGGCAATGGATGTGAGTTAAGAGAACTGCGGTGGCATCGCCTGGGGCTGGTGCCTTTTAATAGCTTAATTACTGAATAGACAGTACTCTTTTGTAATGTAAACGAAACCTCTCATTACTTGATGGTGTGTAGGAATGGTTGATGCATCCATGGCTGCCACCTTGGCCTACCTTGTGGACATCAGGTAAGTGTTAATGGGATCGTTAATGATTTCATCTCCTTGTTTTTGTGTGACTGCAAGTAGATACACCGAGAGGGCGATACACTTAAGACTTAGAAGGTCAACTCCTAACGTCTCCCCTCCCCTACCCCCTAGCGTTTCCCGCCCCTAATCCCTCCCCCATCCCTGTAACACATTCGTGTGCCCCCAAAAAACGGATGAAGAGTATTTCTAAGACATGGCTTTCTTCATGCCTTGGATAAGTTACTGTGATTTGTTTTTAAACGTTGGTTGTTGAAATGTTTTTGTTCTTTTATTGCCTTGAGCCGTTTGGCCCATGTTTGCAAATTGGTGTGCTTTCTTTAGCTACTTACATGATTACTGATACCCTGAGCCATATTTGAGCGACATTTTTAAATCAGGTGCTAATGTAAAAGGCACCATTTTAACCATAAGATAACCTTAACCTCTGTTTCCCCTGACCACATTTGCTAAAGCACCTTTACATTGCCTCTTTAAAGTTACCCACCCGAGATTACTTGCCATTAGGTGATAACTGTACTTTGTGCATACTGAGCGTTTTTTCGGAATGAATTCTAAACCCAGATTTAAATTTTTGTACTTTTATTCCTGAAACTGAACGTCTGTAAACGACTTTTGGTACAGTTCTGTTTTCACTATCACTAAAGACATTGAGTTTTTACCTTAATCAGCAGTGCTATTTTCTCCCCTTCAGACACGCCTCTGTATATGGCGCTGTATTTGCTATTGAAGATTTTGCGGCCTCAGTCGGTTTCGCCTTTGGTATGTGTGTTTAGTTCCTTGCTAAACCAATAAACATGCACTAACATATTGAATGCACTTTTCATCGTCCTGAAGTCCAGGATAATTCTTGTCTCGTATACGAATCTATATATAATTGAAATTTAAGAAGGAGGAAATCCTAAATGATTTTTACCTGTTTTTCAAGTGTACTGTTTCCGATTGGCCGTACATCAGGGTTTCAAAAAATTTTGCCATAAGCGATTGTCGATGTTGTAATGGGCGGTTGTATTCAGGAAAGGAGTCGTAAGGCGAAAGCAAAACACAAGAACTTGCTAGTATGCTAAACAGATGGCAGTGAGTTGTCATTTAGGCGACGGCAGACCGTCGGTAGTTGGCTTTTGTTGAATCGTCTGCCCTACATTGACTTTTTTTTACGTGCTTTGACATTTGCATTTGCGTCAGTTCTCTGAACGCTGGACAAGTTCACGTTAGGTTTCGTAAAAGTGTTATCCGTGAAACTTTTTCCACTTTAGTCAGTTAAGGGTAAGCGTGAGTTGTTTTAACATGTATGTGTTTCATAAAAATGTTATCTATTTTCACTAATGACCTTGAAGTAATCGACATGTAATTTGATTTTTAGGACCACTTCTTGGAGGAGTAATTGTATCTGAAGGAAGTTTTCAATGGTAGGTAACTGTTCAGTTTCCGGTGACTGGGGTTCTGAAAACCACGAATACCTGAACATCATGAACTGCTACCTCCCTCTTTATGAGGACTAAAGAAATAAAGTTAAATGCGAAAAGAAAAAAAATTTTTTTGCTTTCCTTTTTAAGGCTCCTCACTTACAAAGTCAGACTATTTTCGCTAAACACTATCAGGGAGCATTACAATTTTCGTTTCTCCGACAGTTCCGCAACGAGTTGTTCACACAATATTCGGGAAACGACTTAAGGTTTCTAAATTCTATGCCAAACTACACGAAAGCTGTCAATTCTTGTACTAAACCAGTGAGTTAAATTAGGATATATAGCCAACTGCCCATCACCTACATACTACCTGTTCAAAACATTATTTATCCCCGAAAAAGTTGACGCTATTTCGTCCTCTGCATCGCGGCTGTTTCTTGTTTCTTGTTTCCCGTTTACTCTGAACCGTGGGCACTGAAATTTTCCAGCGAACTTTACATTCGCTGCTTCAGGGTCAGACCAAAGCGAAGATGACTGCTTTTACAACCGTTTCGGTGAATGACATGGAAACGAAAAAAGGTAGAGCCCAGGACATATTACACAGAAATACCTCGATTAGTTTATCAAGAATGTGTCTCTTTTATCGCTTGTTCTTTCAGGCTTCTGCGTGGATTAGCGATTCTGAATCTTTTCTTTGCTCCACTCCTTGTGTTTTTGAGAAACCCACCAGCCAAACATCAATTATTGCAGAATGAGGACACAGAAGGTAGAATTGACAGACATGTTACAATTGTGGTATTTATTGTATCCCAGATGTCGTTTGAAATAACTCGGCAGCGTCTTCCTTGTGGCGTTTTAAGGTATTTTGAGCCGATCATAGAAAATCTCCCTTACCTAGAACGAAGCCTTGAAACTAAAACAAAAAAAAAATGTAACGGAAGAGGCACATCCAAGGATGGTTCAGGATAAAAAAGAAAGGTTAGTACGGATTGCAAATTTTGACTTTTCGAAAATTTTGGCTAATTTGGACCCTAGTCCTTTGAAATCCATGGCCAGATTTCAAAACCACGTTTGTGTGGGTTCAAGAAACCAAAGGTTCAGTTTGGAAGAAACTTGCGTTTGTCTAATAGGGACACAAACTTCCTCTGACTGTTATAACAAGAGCAATTTCTAATTGAGTGTTGAAAGTAAATCTGGGATTGCTTTGGTTTTGCTTTACGTCCCTCGGTGATTGGTCCAGAAAACCCGCGCCACTCTCTCAACCAATCAGATGCAAAACTAAAGCCAATCACGACATGATCACCCCGCGCTTTAGGCTGTTTGCTTGTTGTTTCTTGAGTTTTCATTGGTTCTTTCGGATATTCTGCTTTCTTCTGATTGGCCATTGTGATTTCTTGGTTTTGATTTCACGATACTTAATCGAAAAGCGCTCTTTGGAGTTTGAGATTTACGGTGTAGAGTTACAGTGATAAACGGAATTTAGTCCATAATTTGCGGCAACATGTCTTAGTTACTGGATCCCTTTCACGTTTATCAATCGAATTGAAGACTATCTGTAATTCAGTCAAAACTAAGTCACAAGTCGTCACAACGGCAAATTAGATAATAACGAAGTACATTAAGACTGTAATGGAAACCTTAAGTCGTGATGGAATTAAAAACAACTACAAGCTCTTATAATCGAGGTGTTGTTACTTTTCCATCCAAATGATTGAGACGGTGAGGCGAGATTTTAATACCAATTTCAGAGCGAACTGACAAAAGCAGTGCAATTCCGGATTACACTGTCGACACTCCACTGCAATTGCTACATATTTGGTTACTGCTACTGTGATATGCCTTTAACAGGATTTGACCCCAAAGTCTTTGTCGTTCTGTGCACATTTAGCTTTTCGTGTTGAGCTTTCCGGAATGAACTCTAATCCGCTTAGATGCATTTAGACGGCAATAAAAGAAAGCTTTGAAAACTTTCTGTAGCCATTTGTAGATATTACTCGTTAATTTTCAACTACCAGTTTATAAAGAAGATGTTACTGACTAATTCTGAATTGAGTTACGGAAACTTCTCATGGTTTTTCTTTATTATCATAATTAAAACAGATGTTTAAACACATTACGGATTTAGCAGTCTTTAAGAATTAGACCTTATACCATAATTTACAACGATCATTGGTGGCTAATGGGCTTAACATTTCCAATATCCTTTTTGGATCGTTGCCAACATGATTTAACTTGTTCAGGATAATTTAGTTAACCCAAGTTCAAAATCTGTTCAGTTTTACACTATAGGATGGTTTCAGTTTCAGGTATTGATGAACAAATGGAGCCAGCAGAAATACGAGAGAGCTGTGAATGAGCGTGTGGAGAGATTTGCCAGAAGGTAAGGTTCAGTAGTAGCTTACCTAAAAGTTCCAAATTTTGTTGCGGTTAAACTAATTATAGCCGTCTCTTCTGCTGAAGTGATCTTAGCGTTTTCTTTGCAAAAAATAGAAATCTTTTGAAGTACGGTTCAAGTGTTAGTTAGTGCTTCTGCTGTAAGTTGGAAGAAACTTCGGGTTGCGCAACACTCGAAAGTCGAATCAGTGAATGAGCACTGATGTGCTATATTTATTTTCCTTCTGCAAGGCTTTCTTTGCTGTTATTTTTAAACCAGTACAAAGGACTTTGGACTTTCCGGGTGCTGAAGTTCAGCGACACTTAGCGGGAGAACAAGTCAACAATTCATCCTGACAAATACATCTTCGAGATCATTTCAGACTATTAATGGCTTTAATTATAAGCGTAACAGATATTATAAACGTCTAATATGCTATCTGCCCCCTTCCTGTTGATCTCAATTTGTTTTTGTGCCTGGTGCTGACTGAGGGGGCAACACGTATCGGAAATTTAGAACGTAATCCATGTAAACAAGGGGAACTAAATGTCCGTGTGAAATTGATCACTGCAGTGTTTTTGAGTTGTTGATATTTGTAATGGCGGTTGATCCAAAGGTAGAACGTTAATTGTTGTTCACGAGCTAAGTGGCCTGTGAGAGAGTACCTCGGTTTGGTACTTCTCTTCCTTTCCCCCCTCCCCCTCCCCCCTGATGAGATGCTGGTCCACTTTAGACCTTTAGCCCATCATCCATATCCCTCAAAGTTTGCAGATCTTCTGGTTGGAGTGAGGCTCTTTAAGATAAAAGGGTCTTACCTAATAACACGACGCAATCACCTCGGCCAAGATTCTAACACGTATTTTTTTTTCTCCGGAATCAACCACGTTGACCATTTTTCCCTTCATTAGTCACTCACCCTTTCACCAATTTAGATATTTGAAGACGTAATCCAGTATATGACAATGACCACCCCCCCCCCACTCCCTCACCCCATCCTTTGCCTTAGATACTGTGATGACTATTTTTTCTCTTGTGTAGAAACCGAGATTGTTCATTCCTACAGAAGATTTGAAGGCCTTATTTACATCGGTGTTCACTTACTTGCAGGAAAAAAATCCGAGAACAAGAATGGGGAAAAGACAGAACTGGCAGCTGGTGCTGTCCCAGCGTTTTAGTCTGGCTCAGATGAAATCTGAGTCGTATTTTTATCAGGAGATTTCTTTCGGTCTGAAGTGGAATTGGATTCGTTCCTTCGCCACGCTTAAGCTGGACATTTGAAAAATATTAAGAAATTTATTTAAATGGTGATTTTGAGCAAAGAACACTTAAACTAAACGTTCAAAACAATTATCTTAGCTTTTTTAATTATTTTTACTTCAAAACGTTAATTTATTAAACAACAAATTTGAATAATGAAAGGCTTAAAATTGATGTTTGGTTGTTTGCCAGATGCTTGATGGGATGTCGGTTTCTGCTCTACACCAAGCACAACCGAAAGATATTTTTGTTGTCAAGAGGGGATCGATCGTCTGCGGTCGATTGGCCGAAGGCGTTGAAAAAAATTGCACTAATGTGTTTAGAGGATGTCGCGCCCTTCCTTGAAAAGAATCGTTATCAGACCCCCAAATCCGGTGCGAAAGGCCACGGAAACGGGAAAAAACGAAGACAAACTACAGAATCTGCCAAATTAATTCCGTCATTATAGCCACTTCTTAAAGGTCTTTGATGTTGCCTTCATTGAACCTTTTGTAGATTCCAAACAGAATTCTAAATTCATGTTATCGATGAACGCCAATTTTTCTCCACCCACTCTTAACATTTTTCAGATCTATAGGACCTTGTTGGCTCTGATGTAGCATACTTCATTCATCTGTTACCTGAGACGTTGATTTCACTTCGAGTCCCACTTGAACATTTGTGGCGGACGTCCGCATGAAAAAAAAAAAGTGGTCTCAAAATCTTTATTCCTGCTTGAAATCTGAACGCTAGTTAAGATCTTAAAGATCAGTAAATCTGTATCATTTTAATAGGTTTTTAGGAATTTTTCTTGGGAAATTTCACTTTGAATGACAGGGAAACCTTTAGTCACATTACGCAAGAGGCAATGATGTTTGTGAGCGCATGTAAATAGTGAACTTGTGTTTACATTCTTCTGAATTCAACTCTCGAGTTTGCGAGATCAAATGCAAACATGGAGTCTGCCAAGGGCACAAATGAACCCCGCGGAGAGCAAAATTCACGATACCCGCTACAAAACGAGGATCACCAGATCTACTCAACAATTTATATATTTAAAATTGTTCTTGATAACATTTAAGGGGATTGATTTGGCACAGTTCAAAGGACGATACGTCATCAGCCATTGGCACTCTTAAAATAGCGCCAATTTTGACAACTTTCTTTTTGTGTTTGACGCTTAAGGTGAGCAGATGTTAATCACAATTCACAAACCTGTGATCGCAAGGGGTGGGTTATCTCTGTTTATTTAGTGTCGCAAACAGTTGTATAATGGACGTGATTAGAAATCCTACCACAAAAGAAGGATTTGGATTTCTCGCACAAACTAAGTAATTTGGTGACTTTGATTGACAACTCGTTAGAATTGTGATGGCTTCCCTTTTCGCTGAGTAGCAAAAGTGTTGTAGTTTTTTACAGAGAGATTAAAACCTGTAACTTAAAAGGTTGGTTTAGGTCTGGAGAACGATTCTTATCAGTTTTGATTTCCAAATCTAGTCACGTCTCAGGCCTTAGGTCAGTTTGTCAATTATGTCCCTTAGATAAGTTCAGTCTGTTCTCAGTTTCTCTCTGATGGGTGTGAAATTAATTATACAGTCCTTACCCGATGTGTTTGATTTCTTGAGGAATGTAAATATTTCGTAACCGTTTGATGTTGTCCAACTCTCACTAAACACGAATTAAGGGACTGAAGATTCCAGTGAACAAGACTTTAGATCAACCTGTCAATTTGTTAGGATCATGTTGCTCATTTTTTGCATATTAAAGAGGTAACGATTTCTAGTATTTTAGCATAATTGCTATTCAAATAGACGATATATTTTTATCACGCTTAGAACAAGACTTCCTTAAAATTCTGCATTTTCTAGCGATAAACGCAGATGTTGATGACAAATCGCTGTTTTAACTCGACCTGTACAGTGAATTTTGAAATCGCTGGAAAAAATTTTCGAAAAGCGAGAATACTCCACGGTTGTTCTCAATTTTCCTTTCTGGAAGCCGGAGGAGCAGGAGTTGGAGTTGGTGGTGGTGGTGGTGATGATGGGGGAGGGGAGGGGGGCTCGGATGTGTTTAACAAACAGCATGAGCACAGATCTCGCATATATCTTGTCAAAAAGAATTCAATGTGATGATTTTTATACTATTAACAGCAATCAATACAACTTTCTGTCATTTTTTTGTGCTTACTTAAAAATCAGCATCTGCATATGGCACCTAGGAGTGACAATGATCTGTGGTGTGACTGATCACTATTTGAAGGAAACTCGTGCGTTCTCCTAAAAAATGTTCTGGGTTTCCGGATGGTATGTTATTTAATATACACAAAACAATCTCACTAATATAGTTATGTTATAAGTGAACTACCAACGTGTGAGTAACTAACTTAAGTTCGAGGTTTCGAGAGGACAAATAAAGATTTAAAGGAACTCAAAATTTGGAGATGTTTTAGCGATATTTTCTCACTTGTCACAGGTGATTTTCTGTAAGTTATGGTGATATAATAATACAAATAAGCCGGGCTTCTGATCACTGATCAAATCGTTTCTGTTTTGGGGGGATTCCCGTAATAAAGTTGTTTTCATTATTTTCACTTCATGCGGTGTCGTGTTTTGAATTGCTTTCCAGTCAGAAACCGCATTTAGCCACGATTAAACCCGTTTACAATATCGCCAGGTGTCTTGGGCCTGTAAAATCCAAGGTGTATCAAAAGAAAATGGTCAGCCAAAAATACAACCGCTTCATGCGGTGATAATAACCTTCGTGAAGTCACGCTCGCATTGGACATCAGCAAAAGTTTCCAGGGGACAACAAAACAATATTTTCAAGTTTTGAGGAAGATCGTGGAACGAAGCGCATCGTAAAGAAAGTTCTTTAGTGTGAAAGGAACAGAATTAGGTTGATCAGAAACACTACACGACCCTCATCAATTATCGCGTCTAGTCCGTGTCCATTGTTCACCTCTGACAGCTCACTTGTCAAATTTGGCGCGAGATTACAGACGCCTATACTCTGGTTTCGCGTCTCTGAAGCTTTTCATCTCGCAAAACCCTTACATTTTCAAGATCAAAAATCCATAGGCAAAATATCGAAACATTAACACAGAGGGACTAATTAAATCTTTCTTCCCTTTTGTGACTCTCCCTAACACTGAAAAATTGAAAGGAAACCGGTTTTTCCGCCCCGGCGAGCCGCGTGCCGCTGCCACACACTTGAATAATACAGCGTGCGAGTGACTAAACGGGACACTCTTGCAAGTTTCGAAATCGAGTCGGCAGCACGTTTTCTTTTCACCAAATACTCAATAACATGGTGAAACAGAGACCACAATTAACAAGATTTGCATTACAATCGCGGATGTGCTTGCGGCTTTCACAGTCTAAGCGTGTATCAATTGTTCTTCTCTGTAATTGCATTTCTGTTTACGAGCTTGATTACTGGTAATTTCCTCTTTATCAAAGGCTTTTGACAGTCGGTGACTTTCTGAATTAATGTTAGCTGTGATTTGCATACTGCGAGCGTTGTCTGTTCAATGAAAATCTCAAGTAGTCCTTTGTCGTAATTTTGCTTTGCTCGGTATGATTCACAGCAGTTTATAAAGAAAGAGGCAAAACGGACCTCTAGGATTAGTAATTACTTTCTCGTTTCATCGAATACGCTTATTTCTTCGCCACTACTCGGTCACAAATGCGGTGCAAAAATTTCCTGAAAAGTAAACTCGCTTTGAAAGGCCAGCTGCTCTTCTAAGTGACGCAAACAAAGACAACAAAGAGATTTGAGCATGGTTTCAAAAGAAACCTTTCGGTGGTCTTCAAAGGATACGTACCCGTTTGAGAATAGAGCATAAAAATCAAAAGAACCCCTGTGAATGTCTTTGATCCCTGCCCAATCACTGCACGCTTGATTGTTGGTGCAAAAATATAAACGGCTGTGCTTTTTACTCGGCGAGTCGAAAGCACATGGTTTGTTTACTTTGACCTCCAAAAAAATTCCGCTTACACTGAACCATGATAGCGCCATATTATCACTTTCTCTTAGTTATACCGCTTTCCTTCTGATAAATTACGATCGATCTCGATTAAAATCACTTTAGAAGACTCCAGAGAAGTGTTAATTCACTAAAAATACAGCAAATTCATCAGAGCAGTAAAGCAGAAAGCGCGCCAAACACACGGAACCTTAGTGACTGAGGAATTTGAAAGCAAGGTCATTTTACACGCACACCGAGCAACACAACACATACTCATGAGTAGAAATTGCAAAACGAGGTTTTTATCTTCCTTCTCCTTTCAATAAGCCATACAAAATTTCTCCTCTGATATTAGAATTACGTTTAATATATATAAATACAAATCGTACTCAAAACTTTCTAATGTTAGAATAACGAATGTCGGTTTTAATATTAAAAAACATTTCGTAAACCTTGATTTTTTTCATTTCATCATTTGCAGCCATTATTTAGAACACAGCTGTTAAAATTAGAATAAAATTCATTCAAAAATCCACCTCTACAACAGGGTAGTATTAAACCTACTTTCAAAGTAGTAAATTTCTACATCGTAAATATCGAATTATTGAAAAACCTCCCTTAGAGAATTGGGAATTATAAAAGCCATTATTAATCATAATCTCTCCATTTCTGAGCCAAATTCATAATCAACACTTTCTTATTAAAATACTTTACACTTACAGGGTGAAAATTCAATATTGGGTTCTGCTACAATTCGAAAATTTTACATAGATACATATTCGATAAGTTAACCTCTAACTAAGAAAGTTGAACCTCTTTAAAGGGAAATACTGTGATTTCCGCAACATTTACACAACATCCTCTAGGGGAAGTAAATACTAAAATTTAACAGTGATCTCCATGAAAATTTCTTCCTAAATGCAGATCGCTTCATAATACTTAACGCAACATGGGAAGCCTTATTCGCAAAGAATTTGGAGGAGTCGAAAGCGAAAGAAAATGAATATCATCAATACGAACACACCTTAGATGAAAAGAGCCTTAATGATACGAATGGCAGCAATCTGCACCGTCAATTGTGGGTTTTATTATATAAACGGAATAATAATTTAGTTCGCCGCGATCTTTACGCAGTTCACGCTGTCTTGGAAATAGTAAGCGACCATATTGTAAACAAATAACACAACAACCCGAATATAAATTTAAAATCGGCATATAAACTCTAAATTTCCCTTGAAAAAAATCTTTACATAATGATTTCACTCTTAGTCTTACTTTAGAATCTGAAGGAAAAGTTTAGCGACTCCTTTTGGGGAGAACACGATTCCTGGGCACCTTGGGCAGTTGACCGCCATTGGCTTGCGCTTGCTGGTTCTGCGGACAGTACTTGATGGTGTGCGACTCATCGCCGCTTGCTTTGCAAATTGGACAGGTATATGCTCTCAAAATAGGACATGTCGTCTTTCCGTCTGGACCCTTTAACTGATGAGAAGAGTAGACCTCCTCGCTCTCTCCGTTGTTTCTGCAAAACACGCACACATTCTGTCGATTTGGGATAGGAGCGGGAACTCTGGTGGACGGCTTAATCCTTCGGCTTGGCGGCAAAACGGCTTCTTTCCGTTTAGAAGTTGCACTATGCAAGAGCGATGATGAGTTGAAAGGCTGGAAAGGCCCATCTCCAAAGTGATCCGTAAAAGAATCACAGCTACCTGACGATGAATTTTCCGAATCGATGCTGTCAAATCGGTCACGTCGTGGCGCCAATTTGCTGACTCCAAAATTTTCACTCGTTAAATAGTCAAAATCGTGATTGTTCGCTTGTCTCACTCTTTGAACCAAGTTGCTCAAACCAAAGTAGTCATTGAACATATGAAATTCGCTCCTTTGCAAATCGTCTGTCTCTTGAGGGCAAGTTAACGACTTTATCTCCTCATCATCCGAATCCAAGAAGTTACTTGGAATGAGAGTTTTCAGCATTACTTCGCTCAACGACATCTTTCGCTTCCTCAGACTTTTGCGATCGCACGTTAAAGGTCAGGCTTCGCTTTTCACTTCAAACGTGAATCGCGGTGTAGAATTTACTTCTTTGCTCTGCCAGAGGGCAGATTAACGCTTGTTTGTCAATGCGACCGAAAAACTCGCATGGGATTCAGTGGGTCGTAGTTTTTTTTGAAGCAGGGAAAGGGAGGCGTGACTTTCGCTACTCAATCAGTTGTCAAAAAGCTCCATAGTGCGCTTGCGCTTTGTGACGTCAAATGAGCCGATAATGAGATACACACTAGGATAACGAAAGGAGTAAATTTCCGCGCGCTTCAAATTACGCGCTCTACAGCTCTATCTCAATAAGAGAACGCGATTAACTAAAGTGATTGAAGTTAAATTGACTAAACTATGTATTTATTTGGCGGTTTAAGGCCTATTCTTCTTAGCTGTAAACGAAATCAAAATTTTTTTGGCTCCCCTCCCAAGGAAGTTCAAATGGTGCTCACCGAAGCATGTCTGATTGATCTTGACAGGTTTCTCTTTTCATCAACAGTACGGATTACAGTGTCAGTCAAGGGACTTCAGGGCGCCAAAAGCACTTGAATAACATATTGTCTTACCGCCAATCACAACGTCGAGTTCAAATATCAATTGTCATGGAAATATAGTGTACACAATGGAGGAATCTTGTCACGCTGACAGTCCACTAATTTCTTTTTCGCGAAACAATTCGTCTGCCATTGTAGGCAAAGGTTGAAAGCGGCAAAGTGTAAAAATAAACACCTTCGAAGGTTTCTATTCAAATGGTTATTAGTTTTTCATTAGGCCGTGAAATCTTTCGGCCCTCTACTGAGCTTGACGACCAAAATTTGTTAATTAAAGTTGCTGTTTAATAGTCAATAATAGGTAAAGTTGCTGAGCAAAGGCTCGCCACTGAGACTCGCGAATCGATTAATCTAACTATGTTTTTGATAACGTGTGATGAATCAAAGATGAATTGATTTCTTCGGAAACGTACACCGTTGACAGATTCGAAGGAACGTGTTAAATGCCTACCACTCATGCAACATCCTGTGAATTACACAACCAAGACTGCGTCCAGCGGAAGTTTATTTCCTTCAATCCAATTTAGGTCGGTCACAAATATTTTTTTGAACGAATCTTAGACCTCAAAAATATACACAGGTGGTGTTAAAATGTTATGATAAATGCTTTCAAAAACAACATCGACATAACCTTTGCAATGGCAATACCATTCAAACCTCTCGGTGTAACTGTCAAATGAGATATTTCCTCTACAAATTCAGATCGACGGATAGCGCAATAACAAACTTTGAAAAAGGTCTGGGCATAGTGAAAATTCGTCGAAGGTTTAAGATCAACCAAGTTCAGTGTGATTTTCGTTTCAAAAACATTCAGTAGCAAAGATATAGAGAATAATACATGGGCGCGCGTACATATGGAATTTCTCTTCGAGTGTTCAACACGATAGCTCACGAGTGAGCGCAGCGAACGAGTGAGATGTCGAGTTGATCACGAGAAATTCCATATCTACAAGCAACCATGTAGTATTTTGTTTATCATATAAACGCAATAGCCCTTCACTGACAAGAAAAGTCGATTTTATTAACGAAAGAAAATAAAAGGATTGACAATCCCACTAAAATTGTAAAGTGCCTTGCAAAACAAAAAAAATGAGCTTAATTTTAATTATACAAAATTCTCAGTTACTGACTTAGTCCTTTGCGACAGAAGAAATGTTTCAGGTACAGAGCCAAAAGTGGCCTATGGCAAATGGTCGTTCTCAGCCGCGAGAAATACTATTATCAAAGTCACTGAATACGTAACTTTCGGTTTTTCTCTTCGTAATTTGGTTTTCCCCTTCTAGGAAAGTTTGAACGTCACTGTCGGTAAGCGATACGAATTTCTCAATGTTTTAGCAGCCGTGATACTTTTTCGAGAAAATTCCGACAAACATCCACGGATTGAGAGTGGTGAAGGCTTTGCTGTTCATTCATCAACCTGACCAAGTGGCGCGAAAGGCGAGTGACCTGTCAGCAGCTGATTGGCGATATCAAACACACGTGTAAAAATATTTTATTTTTCTTAGGGCTGGAAATCCTTGTATAACACCGTAGATTACATGATAAAGCAAATTTATGTAGTTGTGCAGAAATGCTGTGCGGTGGTAAATCAATTGGCAACAGCTGGTGGCATAAAATCGCAGCAGGATTCCCGCGCAGTCTAAATTAAGAAAATTTCTTCTCTTTGTGATCAATAGTATGGATAAAGTTCTGTAAAATAGTGCTTCTTTGCTAAGAAGTAGGAGGTAGTTGGCATCAGACATAACATGCAAGCCAGAACAATGGTCTCTTTTCTCGTGTTTTTTTTTTCTTGAGCTTGCACATTCTGTTATCTAAGCAATAGACGGCCCAGGTGGGTTGTTACGTTGGCAAACCGACGAAAGTGCGGTCTATTGCTTTTAAGAAATAAAATCAAAATGTTTAAATTTTCTTTGGGTTTACCAGTGCAATTAACGATAGGTTTTTGACTAATCAGGGCGCTGTTGGTATCTCTGTTATTTCAAAACTAACCATAATCTATCTTTTGTCTATTGTGCTGCCCCGCTACAAGCTGATCAACCACAACGGCTATCTCCCGGGGTGGGGAAGTGTAAATGGGTTAACACTTCAGTGCCCTTCATGGAATTCTCGATATTTAAAAAATCACACTATATGCTGACTGTAAAGTGTTAATGAAATTTCCTTCCTTTCTCTAGGCATTTTATTATTTCGTTATCTCTGTTGCGTTTCCTTTTTCCTTTCAAAGCTGATCATTCTCTCACTCTTCAGCATGAAAACAAACATCTCTTCTGCTATTGTTTTTTGCTGTTCTCACTCTGTTAAAAAACAACAACGACAACAACAACAAAAATCGAGTCGGTTTCAATGCAGCATACTCAGTTTAAGTGTTTCAAAAAGATTAGAGATTGATGTAAGTGATTTATAGGGGAATTAATTCTTTTGCTGAACATGTAATAACAATCTCTTTAAATTCCTATTAAATTGTCGTGTCAGCTTCACCCGACTTAGGTCCCGTAAATATATGAATAAAAGTTGTCCCGGGTTAGAGGGACACCCTCCAGCCTCCTAATCCTAACCTCCAAGATATCCTTCTATCCACAAAAAGTCCTGTTACTGGTTATGAGGCACTATGGTACTATTATCAATTGTTTTTGATTTTCGTTATTATTATTATTAATATTATTATTAATTATTATTAGAAATAGAGAAGGGTCAAGCAGGGCTTCCCTAGACTCAACAGCTATATATATATATATTTAGGGTTTTTTTTTTTAAACTGAAATTTTTGAATTTAAGAGGCCGGGAACATGTCTTTTTTTAACAGGAAAAATAGTTCAACTGTTTAGATAACACTAGTTAAATCTTCTACCTCGTGTTGTACATCGATAGGGAAGTCAGACCCTGGCGGATTAGCGTGAAGTCTTTTACTTAAACTGTAAGAAAGTAAGAAACACATATTTAATTATGTAAAATTGTTGCTTTTATTTGAGTTCGTCTTTTTAACAGAATGTATTTTTATAAATATTTTTTGTAAATGAGTAAATAAATGATTATTATTATTTAATTAATATTATTATTATTTTTTTTTTGTGTTTTTTTTAACATTTTTTTTATTTTCACTTAAAGCACAAATACTAGAGTAATACAATACTGATACTTCTGTTTCATAATTTCTACATCAAAACATTTCTGACTTATGATTTTAACCAAGCCTCCATAACGGAACTTAGATTGCTTGCAATACTCTATTCCGCCAGTAACATTACACTAAGGTTTTAGCGACAATAACAGATATTACAGCTCTTACACTGTACTTTGGTCTCAGCCACGTCACTTCAATAACATAGGCAATATTTGCTATGCTTACATTACAATACTTACAATTCAATACTTTAATAAATACAAAAGTCCTAATACAATTACCCTTAATTTATGACAACAATGACAGATATTACAGTAATTAGCCTTTAGACTTTAATTTCATCCCTAATATAAAACAATGTAGGCTGGAAATAATTTATAACTAATAAACATAACACACGAATTGTACCACTTTCCTTACGCTTTGCCTTACTTTGTCTTTGCTCGGCGTTATGACAAAATATTTGCCATTGGTGAGCCGCAGTCATTGAGGGCAATAAACTGTATTTCGCTTGCCATATCGTGCGCAGCGGTGACAGAAGCAGGGATTTGAAGAAGGGAAAAAAAAAACATCCTAAATCTGAAAATAACCAAGTAGCGATTTATTTACAGCGATGTTTTCAAGAAGTTCGATTTATCATCATTTTTATTTTTTAGGTTCTATTGAATTTAATTCAATTCAGATTATTGATACTAGCATATTTACAGCTTGACATCTACTGCTCGCAAATAGCAACAGCTAGTCGAGGAAAGCATTAGTTTCACGCAGATTAATTAAAAAATTTGCAGTGACTGATTACAGAAAATAGATAAATGTACACTTGATATAGTTACAATACTAAGATGAAAAATTACAATACTGAAATGGAAAGAATAGTTTCTATAAAAGAAAGAAAAACAAAAATCCAAGCAACAACAAATAAATAAGTTAAAAAGTTAAATAGCCTTACGCAACGGAAAAAAAAAAGAATATATGTCGGCAAATGCAAATATAATTAAGCTGAGTCGTTTCCATGACATTTTCGTTATCAGTTCAGTTAACTTAATGCAGTTGTCTGCTTCGGTCAATGTTTGAAGTAAGACGTTGTGAAGTTTAGCTTTAAGTTCCTGTTTCGATAAATTATGCAATTTATCAGTTAAGCTGTTCCAAATTCGCACGCCATATCTAGAAAAAGATTATTTTACGAGTTCAATCGATGTATCGTTTTCGTGATGCACATATAGGTTTGTTCACTACGTTCTCTTCGGCCTTCTTCACTTTTCTTCGATGGCTCGACGCAGCCAAATGAGCTAGAGTTATCCTTTCTGTAGTGAACATAGAGAGACTGAACGCGGAGGTTTCGATTCTCTTTGTGTCGTTTCCCCTACAAGCAAAAGTCGTTTCTGACTGTCCGGCACTGTTTAGTTTTTGGAAGTCTTCCACTTCAATTTATTTTTTAACGATACATGAATAAAGTTAGAGATTAACTGATGTTTCTGTCAACTTAATGAATTTTGCTAGTCACTGTTCAGCTGCAAATATTTACCAACAAACTATTAAAAAAAAAAAGAAATATTCTAGAACTGGCGAAACTAGTTTCAGAATATTTAATAAGCTAAACACCAGTGCTTACTCAGTCAACACTGGAACTCTTTAAATTAAAGGCATTTTCCCCTCCTCAAAATGGCTCAAAACATATATCGTTACCCAGATCCGGCTTAAAAAAATAGCTTACATTCCTAGTCAAAGGAAAAGTCCATGTTGTTCTTTTGTCTCGGTGAAGCCTATAATAATATTCATTTTGCTTGTTGTCAAAGAAATGATATTCTCAACGTGGCTTTTCCCGTGTCTCGCTCAGATTTTTAACGTATCGGGAAACATTTTTTTCCAGAAATAGTTGTGTCCCTACAGAGGGGTAACAAACATTTTGTAGCCGAAAACTATCATTATTGACACACTATCTCGTGCACGTAAAAATTTTGAGAATGATGATTTCGTGAATTAAACAGTGCTGTTGCTTGGAATAGTCAGTACTGAGGTTATGTTAAGCTTTTTGTTTTGCTTCACTGGCTCGTGCATATACATGTCAAGAGCTTCTTCGTAGGAGTCAGTTTTTTTTTTACATTGAATATTAAACTTCAAACATGCTCGTCGACTGCATGTTGGAGCCAGAGTTTTGAGTGAGTTCACAGAGGAAGAATGACTGAAAGAAATCACCTTTTTTTTCCTTACTTCGAGAAATGGTAGAGCTGCAAATCATAATTTAGATGAATTGTAGGATTAATAGATAGGTTCAGGTCTGGATGTGAAATTAGCTGTGGTTCAAGACTACGTGTATGGATACCCAATGGATTTTTTCGTTGTTTGTGGACTACTCGTAAGCCGGGGAAGTTTCGAATGACAGTTTCGTATCTCCCGTTCGGATTCCCTAAGAGCCGAAAGTGTCCGCTTTAGCTCAGGATTTTGTAGTTCATTTTGTTGTTCAACTCGTACAGGAAACGGTTTGGTGACATTCTCTTAGTCTCATCCTTTAAGCATAAAATTTTGCATATCTAATAAAAATTTCCTAATTGCAACCATTGACCTACTGTAGTATTACAGGCTATTAGACTTGGAATATTCCTCTTCTTGCGGGGGTATTTCTTCCAACTACTCAGCACATCTTGTAACTACATAGTGCAGAAGGTGAAACTTTATTTAATACATATTGAGGTTTGAAAAATGAACGTCAAGTGTAGTTTTTTCACTTCCTCTAGCTGCGGCAGGGTAAGACGGAAGTCGTTACATATCACGTGATCTGTAGGGACCTTTGAAGGATTGCGATATTATTGTGTGACAAGCAGATTTTTTCACGACGAGAAGATGGCGGATGCCTCAAATGATTGTGGGGCAGATGAACCCGACATACAGGCAACCCGGAAGAGATTTGAAGTATTAGACAAAAAGTATAGACATTTAAAAGGGTTATCTCAAAGAGGTTGGTTGTTAATTCCACTGGGCTTAACTGGACAAGCATTTGATGCCTACTATTTCGGTATTTAACTTGTTCAGCTGCATATTTCGAGTGGTTGATCAAGTTATTGTCTCCTTTTTTAGCGGTTATTGAATTCGAAGCACTGCAAGAAAAATGTCAGGATTACTATGAAAAGGTGAGTGTATTATTTTGTATTTGCTTTTCGTCTTGTTGGGCAAACTCCAGCTGATTCCTGATGAATTGAAGAAACCCCTACATTTTAATTTAAACCAAAACATCGCGAGTTTTAATTAATCTCAAGGAATTTCCTTTTTCCTAATATTTCAGTACAAGGAACAAGAAGGAAAATATTTAAAAATCAAAGGGGATCTAGAGAAATTGAAAGAAGGTAGGAACCCTCATGTAGAAAATCATTAATCTTTCTTTAAGTCGTATCATCGGACTTGATCAATAATTACGTGAAAAACCCCAGGAGACGATATAATCACAGACGAAGTCGAAGACGTTTTTCCCTCAACGCAAATGCTGAAAGCACATAATTATCATAAGAAGTATTGTGTAGCAGCTTTGTGTCCTTTTTGATTTTGAACTGTTGGATGTTTCGTTGACTTTAACAAGGCACTTAAAGTAATAAAAAATAATGAAAGAAAGATGTTGTTATTGTGTAATTTGAGTTAGGTCTGGGAATTCGCTCTGAATGCTTCAGTTTACCATGACGAACAATTCTTTTAGTCGACTAGATTAATCGTTTCGTATGTTATTTCTTGTCGTTCCTCTAACCCAATATATTAGCCTACACAAATGCAAATAGTGAGGGTTAATTGTTTCGGTGCTTATGAAAACTTTTTCTTTGTTACTTTTCTTTCGAAACTCAGTCACGATGTAATTACACGCTTATTATTTAAAGTCATCTTTGATTTAAATTCAATATTTCCCCTTTTTTTTTCATTTCCACCTACTATTACATGCAATTCGAAATTAAAAAAGCGGTACTCGATATCTTCATACTAAAATTAAATTCCAATCCTTATTTATTTCTTTGACGTGGTTTCAATATCACAAAGCGGAAGAACAGGAAGTCATGACATAACTATAAGAGGATTTATCTCTGACTACCTATTTTTTTGTCTTCGTTAAAATAATCTTTCTTAGCAGTGGAATTTATGATGTCAAAGGTTTTGTTTCAGAAAGTTCTTAAGGTTACAAGGAAGAATCTTTAAACAGTAACTAAGGCCTTAAATTACTGCTATTATAATGATATTATTTCATCAGTGATCTTGTCAGTGGGTGTTGTGGTTATGGTGAACAAATATTATTCTTTCAGAATCAGGATGAAGGGGCAATGATGGTTTTTTTTGTTGTGGGGATCCAAAATGTGTTGATAATTAGTCTGTGAATGTCAGAGTGCAACTAACCCCAAAACAAAGTGCAACTTACTCCAACATATATTTACATACCATATGATGGTAGAATTTCTCTTGTGAGTCTTTGCTACCTCTTCCTGAAACGTTTTTTTCAGTGGTGTTTTTTTTTTTTTTTTTTTTTTTTTTTTGTATTTTGTTAGCTTCTCAAAGCTTAAAAATTTTGCAGCTGATAACTGTTAGCTACCACCAGGAAGAATATAATGGGTCTTGCACTCTTTGAGTGTATTTATGATGTCATGGGTGTAGACTGAAGCTTACAAGGAGTTAGTCAAACTAATCTCTATCACTTCTTCACAAATGATCATAAAATGACAAAGTATTCTAGTTAGAAGTTGCTTTGTAGTCACATGCTTTATTATGCACTGTAAATCCACCACTTTTATGACATCATAGCAGTGGCCAGAGAAGTTCAAACTTAACATTAATGTAGTTGCACTATAATAGTTTGAAAAATTGAAATTATGTTACTGTATGTTAATGTAGTTGCACTATAATAGTTTGAAAAATTGAAATTATGTTACTGCTTGGTCAACGAAACCTGGTATTGATTGCCCAATGTCTTTGTTACTGTCTTTTACTACTCAGTTTTCTACAGTAAGTAACCAGATGTGTAGAGACATGTAGTGAAATGTTATTAAAATGTGTCAAACACAATTAGCATGGCATAGTCAAGTGTCAATTTTATTATGTTAAGGCTGTTAACTCTTTTTCTTGTTTTCTTGTTTTTTCCTTTTTTAAATTTTTGTTTTAATTGAACAGTTTCTAATCTTGCCTTGGCTGAGTATGAGAATTTACATGGCAAATATGAAGTGGAGCAGAACTGTAGAAACAAGGCTGAGGAGTTTGCTACAAATGTAAGGCTCTTATGGCATTTGTTCAATGGTAGAATTATTCTTTAATAAGTTTTTTTCCAACTAGTGAATTAATCTTCTCTTGAAGACACAAACTAGAGCTCTTCTTTGCTCACTAACACGTAATTTTTCAAGCAAGATTAACATTGAAGTTTTCCTTTTGCAAAAGTAATGTGATTTTGGCTGATTTTGTTTCACTTTTCCCAATGTGTCTCTTTATTTCTTTACAATATAATATTTAAAAGTAAAATGTGTATACATTTATTTTAACTGATCTTACTAGCCTGTAACCATTTCTACCCAGTGGTAAGCACAACATCATGGCTCTAGCCAAGGCTTACACTTAAAATTCTTGATTTGAAGTCTTTTCTTACTTACCACGAACTGTGCCCTTTTCATTCCCGAGAACTCAACAGTAATTCTCCTTACTCTCTGTTATACAATTCCTGTAATGTTACTTTGGAGAGTTTGGTGGTAGATCAACTAATAATTCCCTAATTGATAATTTTTTGTTCTCATCACCTCTCTGCTTGATATTGTATTGATATTTTAAGGAGAAATTCTGTCTTGGTCATTCATGGGAGTTTAAGGGTTAATAGAGAATAGCTCATTTCTGTTGTTCTCTTTCACCCAAATTATTTTTGTGAGTGCTTTCTAGGGATCCATAAGTCCAGTATGAGCTGGTAGTTACTGAAATGTACAATTTGATACCACAGATGGTTCAGGAAAACAAGAAACTCAAGCGTCAGAGCCAACTACTCCTCTCACAAGTTGGTGGGCAGGTGAACCTTGTAAGTGGACTATTGACTGAAATTATTGATATATAGCACAGCCAACTTTTGTCACAATTGTTTATGAATGTTTGTTTTGCCTCTTTAATGTTGATAATGAGTGAGCTCACTTATATACATCATGGAAAAAAAAAATTTCAGAGGGGACCAGGATTGTATCAAAAAAGACTGAGAGGTGTTTAAAGGGTGCTTTGATGTGGTATATACAGCTGTCTCTGTTTCATTTTAACTTTGAACTTTTGAGAACAAACGTTTAATTTACCTCATCATTTCTCAGGGACCATCACTAGTTGGCTTGTAATTTATGATAATTGTGATTTCAAATTCTGTAAGAAATGTTTGACTGTTGTAAATTGAAAAGAAAGAAGTTTCATTTTAGCTGGGTCAATACAGTCAGATATAGGGATGATATCCATACTAACTTGGAAAAGTGAGAAGAAGTTTTGCTGCAGCTTGAGCCTACTGTTGGTTAAAATCTGTGTGATGCAGTTCAGTTTGTAGTAACCATATTTCCTTGGAAGAAATGTTTGATAGATACTTTTTTTAGGACACCCTTCAATTGGGGGAAGGGCAAACCTGTGGTAATGGCCATTTCTGCTAGGAATTTGTTATTCTTGGTGAAAATATTGTGGTGTGTATACAGTCTTGACAACAAAAAAATTTTAAAAATTTAACTTGACCCAATTGTTTACTTTACATTGGAAAGCCAGCAAATAATGTGGTAAGGAAACTTACATGGATGACATGAAAGAATGACCAGCCTGGCCAATAAGTATTCTAAAACTCTGAAAACTGGAAGTATTACTGGTAATTCTTTGGGGCTCCATTGTTGGAGCACAGATACTAAATCAATCAACCAGTCAATCAACCGCTAATATTATTGAATGATTAAGAACTATTTTTTCTATGAAATCCTTCCACAACAGGAGGAGCTCTCTTCAGTTTCAACTGATGATCAACCTTTGAGTGTCGATGCAGTTTTCCAAGAAGAATTAAAAGGTGTGTTAATAAGCCTGTCAATACCCAGAAAGTTTAGATACAATAATTACCTGCATAAATGAACCCCTGATTTTCCAGACCAGACTGATGTACTTCTTCCATATCAGTTGCCTAAGTGTGTAATCAGCCTGACCTTGTTAAGTGGTTCTTAACTTTTTTTCTGAGAATAATATGTGGTACAGATAATTCAGAGGACCAATTACTTCAATTAAACCAGTTATAAAACTAAGCTTTTGCATGAATGATGCATATTATGATGTCTACATTGTTTGATCCCACCCTGAAAAGAGAGGGGTAACTCTTTAACTAAATGGGGTGCTGAACTAGATGCAAGAGAGAGGGAGCATTTTTGGTGATGTGCAATACATAAACATGCAGTTTTACATGCTCCTGTGAATCAAGTCATTTGCTCTTTCTCAACAACAATTGTAATACTGGAATATGTACAACTTCAATCAGCAATAACATGAAGTATTCCAATTTTTATTCTCTTGTTAGAACTAAAACTGATGGTGGAGTCCTTAAGAAAAGAGGTGAAAAGTACCCAAGAGGAATTGACTGCAACACAAAATCAGGTGAGATACTTTGTTATCAATTTTGTAACTAGGAAGTAAATAACTTCAATGATAAAGAAAAACTTTACTGTATTAAGTTTACAAAGTAAGTCTACTAGTAGACTGCTTACATGGTCATTCATTGTGGTGACTTCACTAGTAATGTAGTATTTACATTTGTCTCATTATGCAGTCTTTTTATTACTGTTGAAAACTAACCAATCACAGTGGAGTATAATACATCAGGTGAAAAACATTGTCTTAATAAGACTGCAAGTATGCGGTGGAAATATTGCATACCACTTAAGAATGACTACATCATGAGACAAACAGTAATTTGGTACTAAAATTTAGACTTTTCAGACAGAGAGTCGAGGTACCATCTCTGACACACCTCTTCTATACTGATGTATAGTAATTTTGACATTCATTTTTTAGTTAAACAGTGAAAGGCAGTCCCATGAGCTTACAAAGAAGAGGTTAATGTCAAATGAAAAACAGTTCAAGCAACTGAACAGAGGTGAGTCCCTCTTTCTTCAGCTGTTTTGGGAGTTGACATGTATAGGATAAAAGGAATGAAAGAAAAATAAGGTGGCAAGTTCTTTGTACTTCAAGTTAACCTGGTGAAGTAAATACCATCAGAGGTATTAGGTATTTGAACAACAACAATACCAAATCTTTCATTACTCACAAAGAGATGTATTACAATGAAATACTAAGGAAATCATTTATGATCAACATACAATTTTTTAAGAGCAGAGTTTAATCATTACTAGAGGACCCTAGAGCCCAAGGGCCAGAGGAACTGTGAGGTTTTCAAACCCATTTAAAGTCAGTTTTTTTTGTGAAAAAGAATAGTACGAGAGAAAGAAACCAGACGTTGTTGATGATGTAGTATTACTATGTAAGACAGATACTGCTGATAATTTTTATTCAAGTTACTTATGATATTGGATCCCTAACATTTTTTTGGCTACAAATTATCTTTCTTTGATTAGCCTTTTGCTCAAAACAGGATTCGTTTTTTATTGCCAGAACTTTGTGCCTTGTTGGTTATAGAGACATTTTATAATTCTTTACATTGAAGCTAACCCTTTAGAACTATAAGTTTATCGCATTTAACTTCAACTGACACTGTAAATATAAAGAAAATGCAAACACATGTTTGGTGAAGTGGTGACCGTATGTCCTTTGGTTGCAAGATTTAAAAGAAACAAACGAAAAATTTGATGATCTCAAACGGAAAGAAATCTTCAGCAAGGTTTCTTATTCGTATTTCAGTTTCTGTACTGGCTCTTGAGGAATACAACACTTTGCAACAAAGATACGCTCTTGAAACACAGTGTCGTGTTGAAGCTGAAAAGTACGCTGCTGAGGTTGGTAACTTGTCCGATGGGGTGGGGGTGGGGGTGGGGGGGGTACTAATGACAGCTTTTGCTGGGTTTGTGTCGATGGTCTCTCTGAACCCCTATTCCATTATAATCTATTCTTTGACCAATTATGGACCTCACCTTAGTGACTTTTGGTAGCTTAGCCTTAAATCTCTACTTACCAGAAATTTCTTACCCCAAAATCCTGAAAATGAGTGACCCCGTTCTAGAAACTCTATTGAAAATGCAATCCCATCCAGCGGCACATCCCCTTTAGCCTAATACTAGAAAATACCCCCCCCCCTTCCCCCCCTTACCCTCAGGTAACTTGTTCACAGGACCCACGCACTTTTCGCAAAGAGTAGGGAACTTTTCCAAAAAAATTTCACAGCAGGGGGCACCTGCACAATTTCCTTTCAAAAAGTGTAAACTGTTTAATGCAGTCTAGCCAAAGTTCCCCACAATGTATTGTAAAGCGCGCTAGAGCATATTAATATGGAAATGAATTATCATCATGTTCTATTATCAGTTTGTAGGTTTGAGATATTAAGACAGCAAAAGTTTCTCTTTCAGCAGGAATGTATTTACGACACATAAAGAGAAGATTTCACTTCCTAATATTAGTGCACCTTGTCAAACACTAAGTACCATACAAAAGTGAGATTTAAATTTTTTTTCAAACTTCGTTAGGTGTTAAGAGAAAAAGATGTTTTGGATCAGCAGAGGAAGTACATCTCTGAAACAACTAGCAAAGATGAACAACTCAAGAAAGCTCTTGAGGAGATCAGCTCACTAAACAAGAAACTTGCTGACGAAAGAACAGAAGCGGAGGAGAAGGTAAGGAAATTTTTATATTTCATTATTTCTAGTCAGTGCTTGTTACTAATCTTTTAGCGGTCGCTCATAATGGTCACTGCATCCTGCTTTTGCAGATAAAGGAACTTCTTGAAGACATGAAGGCCTCGAAGGACGAAGAGTATATCAGCGGTATGTAATTCCGGAAAAGAAAGTAAGGTGAAAATTCCAGCAAATCTATTGGCAGAAGACGTCGGTCAATACCATAATTTCTTACTTAGATGTCGCGGCTTTGCTGAACTAAAGAGTGGTAGAGGTGACTTTATCTGTAAAATTAGTGAACGCGTCGACGTTCAATTTTTTTAAGGAAAGTCTCTCTGTGGTTTCGAATGGCCTGTAAGTAATGAATAGTCTCTATTTATAGCGCGGACATTAAAACATGCCCTTTAGTGTCGCCTCTAGTGTCTCAGTCAGTCCATGTGATGATGCTGTTGTTTTATTGGTTATAGTTACAGAGGAGAAACTTCACGTGGCTGAGGAGCATATCGAGTCCTTGGAACAACAACTGGCAGACACCGAGAAGAAAGTCACTGAGGCAAATCAGAAAGGTAACGGACTTCAATGCTTTTTTTTTCAGTTATTTTTACTGAAGATTCTGTCTTCCATGCCATTACATGGTAATGAGCTCACTTAAAAAGCAGTTTGGTGGGTTATTATTCAAGTTAGCGACAGAGCATGAAAAGCAGAACTGGTCAAGTATTGAGAACATTGTGCGGCATGGCGCTCGCAGCGGTCAAGTCCCAAGGCTGGAAAAAGAGTAGGAATAGGCTTTTCTCATTTTTTTGACCTACAGCCTAGGATCTTTCTTGGATGCCTTGAGGTATCTGACATATTTATAGGCGTTTCGGATCTGACCATCTGTTATCCACGTAACTCTGAGTAATTATCATATGACTTGTCTTATCTTTGGATTTTATTATTACGTCAAGGCTAGCCTAGAAGTTGAGGTTTAAACTTTCATGTGTTTATCGTGGGAATTTTATAGAGGACTTATGAATCATTTTAGGGAGCTGAAACACAAATATAGTAATTTCATCCCTCCCGTGAAAAAAGCATTATCTCATTTTGTGTTCAACGAAAGTCAACGCGCTTCACTCTCTCTGACTATGGGATATTTTGTCTTGTTAGTGTCTGAACTGGAAAAAAGCTTAGAGGAAGCAAAGAAGCAGGCTGCTGCCACACCCCCTCCCCCACCGTCTCCAGTGGCACCACCACCACCACCCCCTCCACCACCCCCTCCACCTCCTCCCACACAGCTTATCAAGTAAGTTTAAATAAAATGTTCTGCGACGTACGTATTTTAGTTGGAAGTTACGTAACTACTTTGATAACCTTTTTTTCGAGGGACTTTGGTTACCCAATAGTTTCCTGTTGGAAGGGGTTTTGAAACTGACTTATATGGTAAACGTTGTCGGAGGAGAACCTGACGTTTTATTTGTCTTGCCGCGAGCAATCCTAATTCGTTTGAGTTCAATGTATCGTTATTAATTAGCCTTCTAATTTGCATAAGAACAGCACTGTCAATAAATGTTCAATTACTGCATGTCTTTTGAAATTTAGGAAGTTCATGAACATTGTGGGAGCAAAAAAGAGGTCTTCCCTAAAACGGAACAAAGGTAGGAAAAAATGAATTAAATAAAATTGTTTTCAGTTATTCTCAGTACTTGCACCCAGTCTACATCCAAATCATGTGGTCGGTTGGTCACTTAGCTGGCCAGTTTGTTGAAAGGTTGGTCAGTCAGCTGCTTGGTGGGAACACTGCTGACCGCTGTGTTGGCGCGCGGCCGGCCACAACTGATCCCCTCGTACATGCCCGAAGTTTAACCGCTGATTTGGTTGGTTAATCAGGTGTTCAGCTGGTCGGTTGCTTGCGGGAAGGGTGGTTGCTCGGTGATTTGGTTGATCGGTCCGTTGGTCCGTCGGTCCGTTGATCGGTCAGTGAGTTGGTAAGTTGGTCGTTTGCTCGTTCTATCAATGGGTTGGTCGATTGGTGAGTTAGTGAATTGGTAGGTCGGTTAGTTGATCACACAGCGGTCAAACGTCTGCGTATGTGCGGTCAATGTATTGAATTAGTGGCGTGCTTTCAGACTTTCAGAACAAATTTGTCTTGATCACGCAAGTTACTACAGATTTCTATAAATGTTTCAATTATATTTAGCTTATCTACGAGACAGCAATTGTTTCTTATTTTTCCATTGATATTTTGCGCGGGAAATTGGCGCGTGGGCGGCCAAAATTGTTACCTCGCCTATGCCTGACGCGTGACCGTTGTGTTGTGTCCTTTGTAGCCGGCTGGTTGATCGGTCAGTAGGTCAGTTAGTCAATGTTTCGGTTGGTCGGACCATCAACTGGTTTATTGATTTGTCAGTTGGTTATCTGGTTAGTTGTGTGGTCGGTCGGAGAGTCATTTCATCTGTCAGTTGGTGAGTTGATCAGTCGGCCTGTTAGTTGGTTTGTCAGTTGGTTGGCGGGAGCATAGATTGTAACTTGTTTTAATTATGATAAAATTTTGTTTTCCCAGCTCCTAAGGATCCAATGGCTGTTGCTATGTCTGAAATGATGCAGAGAATCAAGACTGGGAATATACAACTGAAACCTGTCAAAAGTGTAAGTGTTCAACTTTCTTTACTGTTATTAGAACTATTAAAAACAGTTCTTCTTTTCCTTTTTTTTTAATTTGTTTCTAAACGACTTGGAATCACTTTATAAACTTTACCTTTACTTTCCCAGTTTCACACACCTCTGTGCCAGTATGGCGGATTTGTCTTCTTAACGTGCAGTTTGTAACTAACCCTGTTTGTTTTAAGCCTTCCACCACTAGCAGCGAGAGTGATGACACAGATGCCATGTCAGATTTAGGAAATTTATTGGTAGGCAAATGAATTACTTCATCTATATTTTGTCAATTACCAAAAAGTATTTTTACCGTTGCACGAAAAGTAACGATGTATATTGAAGTTCGACACAATCTGCGCTTGTTTTGAGTCATTTCAAGTTGACAATTAAGTACAATTATATAGAGATTTTTTGTGAAAAGAATTATAGAAAAAAATCTCAATCAGCGTGAACAGAAAGTGAAATTAAAAAAAGAAAACAAACAAACAAAGACGTCAACATCACTACCAGGGGCGACAAACAAAAACAACAGATCAAAACGGTTATGTTTTTTGTTATGAAAGTGACCGCGAAGATGTGTATGCAAAAATTTCAAGGAGGAAAGTGTGAATATAACTGATCCTTTGTTTACGAGTAAATAAACTTGAGAGAGAAAATCTTAATCGGGTGTCAAAAGTAACCCGGGACTGCTTTGTTTTTCATTTACTTTGCTCTGTTATTGGTCCAGAAAACTCGCGCTACTCTCTCAACCAATCAGATACAAAACTGAAACCAATCTTGACATGGTCACCCGCGTTTTCCCGCGCTTTAGTTAGTTTGGTTGTTCTTACTTTAATTCTTTGACTTATTGACCCTTAAAGTATTTTCCTTTCTTCTGATTGGCTGACTGATTCTAATTTGGTTTGGCGGGTTTTACGCTCTTTTTTGAGTCGTATTCTATCGAATTCAAGTATGGGGTTAAAGAGAATGTTTAACAACTGAACGTGTTCTACTTTTTCAGAAAACGTTAAAGAGAAATCCAAGCGTTGATGTTGGCCCAGGAGTAAGTTCTCCTGGAGCGGACGGTTCACCGGTTGAATGGGCAAATATTAAACTACGTAAGCCGAGCTCCAGTGTAGAGTCTTCCAAGGAGACATCCAACTCAGGAGACGCCGGAAATGGCAACAATGAACTAAAAAAGGTGGTATTGAGGAAACCACGAAGCCATTCTGCAGGGGACATTCTTGACGATAGACCAAAGGACGAGGCTACGGCAGAGCTGAAAAGGATTCTACAGAGACAAAAAGCTGCTGCCGAGAAAGGTGAAAAATTGATAGAAAATGTGCTCCTTTTGTAGTTTAAAATGTTCTCCCAGTCACCGGTCAACGGTGTAATTTGTCTCTACAATGTGCCACGATCATTTTGTTTTGTCTTGTTTTAAGATGCAAAATGGTCGAATGACTTTCACTTTGAAGAAACTTACAGTCTTAGTAGAAAAATTGTTAGAGGCAAAATTAACCGTATGTAACATACTAAACCGAAAGGAACGACTCGTAACACTCAACCATTTCTTTCTATGTTTAAAAAATCATTCTCTCTTTTTGTTTCAGAAAATGCGGAACAAAATAGTAAGGGCGTGTGTGAAAATGGAGCGGCTTGAATGATTCAGGTTGTGAGGGCTGAAAATCTCATCGTAAACAGAGGGGCTTTCTTACCATCTGTTCATTTGTTCATGTTGGAACAGAGAACCTTATATTTAAATGAAGCTGTACGCTCTTAGAGAAAATATTTAGAATTAGATTAATATCTCGTCATGGATGAAAAGGAATAGTGAAGAGAAAAAACCTCGTCTGGTTTTTTGTAATACCTCATTGTTAGGGCTCGATTTAATATTCACTTGGGTTTTCTCTTTAGCTTGGATGATTTTAAGTACGATGGAGGATTTGTGTCAAAAGCAAAAGACAGATTTTGACGCAAATGTGTATCGATACTTACGAAAATAATTTCAGATGCTTTGAAGCTCGTGGAAGAAAACGAAAGTTGGGGTATGAAAAGAAGGAGAATTCATAAAATAACAGAAGATTTCTTCAAGTAGGGTGTAAGCTATGTAAGTAAATGCACTCTTAAAAACCCCAAATTCCAGTAGCGGTATCACGATTGCGATTGCGATTATTAGAGGACGTTTGAACCGTGACATCAGTATGCATATTCTCCACATTGTTTGCTGTGCGTTTTCTTTGTTAATGACAAGGAGAATATTTTTAACGATCAAGAACTTCTTAAGCTGGCGATCATTTCCTTTCTTCACATGAGCTTAATGTTTGATTCAGTGGCAATACTGTAAAAATAAATTAGATTACAGTCATTCTTGTGGGATTAAGGGTTGAACAATTTTGAAAATCTTTTTCTTTTTTGTTTGCCTTTTGTGTAGCTTCGTCACTAAAGGGAAGGAAGATTTTGTAGTAGCCTGTGAGCTAATTCGTTCTAATTTTACTTTGTTTGAATGAAGTATTTTGATATTGTGATCCATTCTGATATAAAGACGCGATTTACGTAAACAGAGAAGTCAAGAAAATGTTATTAAGTTATTAAGATTTTGTTTCATTGGTTCATAGGATGAGACGATTCCACCAAAACTAAATTTTCCTTAAAAAAGAGGCCAGAGGTTCCTCTCGATGAACTTCTGTTAGCAATTCTATATATGAATACTTTCGAGGTCCTCAAGGTACCAATTTAGGAGGAGTTTCGCGCAAAACGGGCAAATAGGGAACGTCCCCAGAGAGATACACTACATGTTTGAAAGTAGAAGTTGTCAGAATTCGTGAAATATTTTTTATAAAAAGAAAATAAATATTGAATCATATTTGAGTGTAAATTAGAGCTAGTCCTGGCATTTAATCGAACTTAGAATTTTTTAAGACAATTTTTTAAATTAGTCTTCTGTAGCGATACACTGTGCAAACTCTTAGTGAGACATTAATTAATGTAAACTTCTATGATTTACATCGATACAGCTTCAGAACGTAATTTGATTTTGCTTCGCAGTTTGATCAGGACAAAGAAGATACCTACTGCTTGTATACGAAAACAGTCCTTTGACGCAGGTTGTTCTAAACATACACGGCAGTTTTCGTTGTCCTATTTGATTGGCGTTTTTGGGAGGCGAGCACTTCATAAGTAATTGACACGGCCGTCTCAATTTCGCGCCCATGCACTTTACTTTTGAAACATGTCTGTACAGGAGCAGATTTTTGGTATGAAATAAATTTTCCTTGTCTTAGTTGCCTCGTTACTCTGTCATGAACCGCAGTTGGCATCAATTCCGAAATTGAGTTTTCAATATTGAATACTCGATCACATTGGAATCTTTTAACACGTGTTATAGTCTTGGAAGAAATTAGTGTAGAAAATTTTGTTAGCGACTGTTGATAAAAGCTGTGATGTGGAACTGAAACTGTTCCAGCAACCAGATATCTTATAAATACAATCTGGTTCTGAATTACTACTCGCATGGATGCTAGACATTTAATGCTATAAATAAAGTCCTCAGTATTAGAATTTGAATGATTAACTTCTTACTTACCGAGTGCAAGACGAAGTGAGGATTGGCGCGAATTTTTGGCAGCACGGACAAATCGCAGCACGGTCTGTGCAAAAACTAACCGAGGGCCGGTTATCTCCAGTACGGCTCGAGCAAGCGAGGTCAGTTTTGAAATAGTTTATTATGTGGCACTAGGACTAAAATTGTTTATTTTGCAAGTACTGGCTGTAGTAAACGAAAATACACGGTTTATGACTGGTTTTGTAGAAACGCCGGTTGCGAGTGACAAAATACGGACCAAGTAAGAACCATGCAATGAGAACGTTCAGATTTACCACACTACTGCCTTGCCATATAATAAAACTTATTAATAACCGCGCTTCAGGGCGGTGCTGGAAAATATTTGGCCTAGGTCGTAGCTGGTCTGTACAAAAACGACCGAGAGCCATTACTCCTCAGTACTGCTCGAGCAAGCAAGGGTAGTAATTCATTTATTATATAGCACTCGGGACCAAATTTTTTTATTTTAAATTTGTTGGCTTTCGCAAACAAATATACACGGCTTTTGACAGTTTCCGTGGAAACGGTCCGTATGGCGAAATACGGACCAAGTAAGAACCAAATCAGAACGCTCGGGTTAACCTCAGGACAAATTCGTCATGTAATAATTAATGGAAATAGGCCCAAGTGGAGTCTAATTCGGTCTGTAATCATACGAGTGATAACAAAATCGGACGACCGTGCAGCGGGAGTCCGATTTGTTTATCGCGAGTATGCACAGACCAAATTAGACGACACGAAGTCTTATTACCAATTAATTATAAAAATTACGATTACCGAGAAAAGAAGAATAGCCCAGTCATGAAAGAAAGGGGAAATTTGCATTAAAAGACTGACAAAGGAGGCCTAATGTGCTTGGATTGTCCGATGACAAACAGTCCAATAACAAACTGTCTGGTAACAACTTGGCGAGTGAATTTGTGGGAAAAAAGGAGTTTTTTAAACCAATCACAATCGAGTAAATTGTAGTTTTTATGATTAACATGTATATTTGGCACAGAGTGCAGTTTTTAAGTTACCCTCTGTAGCTGACAGGTGCCTGTGGTCTATTTGAGTTTTGACATCCTGTGACAGTATGTGCTGGCGTGAAAAAAGCAGATTATAATTAGAGGCTTGCATGAAAGTCTGACCAAAAATTGCTATAATTCCAGATCTTCCTTTGGTAACCTTACAAACGCTGTACCATCTAGCTGAATTCAAAAAACTTACGACAGGAACATTTGATTACTTCCCTGAGATGTCAATTGTTAGATGGGGCTGGTATCTTGTAGTGCATAGACTATATTCCATTCTACATAAGATAGTAAACATTGGTTTGTTCGCCACAAATTGCGTTATAACTGTCTGACCCCGATGTCGAGGAGCACTCGCGCAAAGTTTCTTTGCCGAAGAAGGAATCTTCTTCATCTGTTCGTATTATTTTCTGCCGGGGTGTTTTTATTTCATCTGTATTTCAATCTTTGTGTAGTCCCAGTGATTCCCAACCGAGAGCCTTGTAATATGGCGAAATTTTTCTGTCATGTTGATAAAGAAACATCAAAAACGCAAAAGGACGGAGTTTACGGCCCACAAGTGGACTTTGGTGAATTTAGTGATATCGGCAAAGAGAGAAGTCGTGAAAAGAATTTTCCATGCCGAAAGACGGAAGAAGAATCAAGATTTCGCGAGGTTAAAAGGGGAATAATTGCTTATTCAGCTTGGTTTGATAAGAGAAAATCTCAGGAGTATGTGCGGATTTTGTTATTGACTTCAACAACAGAGCCTCTTCCAATACTTTTCTGTCGTTTTGACAGCGAATTGAAACGATCTTTCACCAGTACTGTCTCTTATTATCAACACAACGAAAACCATTACATGCCGTTTGGATGCTTCATAGCTTCTTGTGCTGTTCCACCCGAATTGGACCATATACCATGTTCTATGATTGTCTCTACGAATGAAAAGTCAACTTCTAAAACACAAAATGAAAGCAGCTCACTTGTTTTGCCCATAAATTTTATCGACCGAAAAATCGAGGTTGGCCACAGGCAATACGGTATTTGTATACCTCCTCTTCATGGTGAGATATCGGTGGACAGGTTGATAGAGTTTTTGGAACTTTCACAAATTTTAGGAGCTTCACATTTTACTTTTTATAACTTGGACATGTCTGACGACGTACAAAACGTTTTGGATTATTATGAAGAAAAGGGATTAGCGCGCGTTCTTCTTTGGAATTTACCTTCGTACATTAGCGAGAATGATATCCATTATTATGGGCAAACTTTGTCGATTATGGACTGCTTATTCCGGTCTATGACTCATCTTGACTACGTGGCTTTTAATGACCTAGACGAGTTTATTGTACCGCTTTATCATGACAACATAAGCGTTTTACTAAAGGAAATTCACCGCAAGGAACATTGCGGGCACTGTTTTCAGAGCGCGATATTTGATCCCTCTTGGGAAGATCTGCAAATGTCGCGTTTAATAACCCAACGAGTTTTTCGTCGCACGAAAGAGGCTACGCCATTTTGGACTAAATGTATTGTCGATCCGCGTAGAATTTTTGAGGTGGGGATACATCACATTAGCAAACCAATTGACGATAATTTTATTGTTGATCAAGTTGACTGGGGTGTTGCGCGGGTTTTTCATTACAGAGAATGCGACGACTCAGAAGCGTTAATGCAGCCAGACTGTTCTGGAAACACTGAAGAAGATAGAACTATGCAGAAATATGAGGAACAGCTGCAGATTAATTTTGAATTGAATGCCATGGCCATAGTAGATTTTGCCGAGACAAACTACGAAAGTGTTTGATATGCAAATCGACAAACAATCCTTTCATAATAAGTCCGTTGCGGAAAAATACTTGTAGTAAAATGTTTATTGTTGAGCACTCTGACAAAAGCCCAGTGTATAATGACTTCTGGAGGGTTTTTTGTAAATTTCTACCAATCACAAGCAAGATTCACAAGCCTTTAAGTCACTAATGGCCCCAACACGAGCTGCTTTTTGGCGGTCTCGTGCGATAAAAACATCATTATATCTGATATATCCGGCTGAGAATATTTTAAAGGAAAAAACAAAGAGAGTAAACTAATTGAATTCATTGAAATTTAGATAAACGAAAGCCAAACTAATGTCAGCGACTCTTGGTTATTATAGATAGATAACGGTCGAGTCAACGAATTCCAATTTCGTGATTGTTTGATGTCAGGGTTGTTGGTTGTCTCTTGACTGGAAACTAATTTACTGTTGAGGTAATTTTGGAAATGAAACTGAATCTTTATATTGCATAAATTTTATAATAAGAGTGCGCAAACCAGAAGTTGTAGCTAATGATGCTGTGACTAAACATCTAAAAGATCTTCATTGTATTGTTATGTTTTGAGTTTCCGAAAACCGCAGCGTGAAGTAGACAAACTGTTTGCGTGATCTCAAAATCACTAAATCAAAGAGCAGCTTTGATATTAAAATCAAAACTCAGAAACAATTATCTTAAGTTTCGATGAAGGTCCCGATTGAAACTTTCCAAGTACAAACAGCTCAAAAAAAATGATTTAGTGAAAAGTGCGTGAAGTCCTGAAGCGTATTTTTTTGGCGTGTCGTACCTTTTTCAATCGACGCAACTGCACGGCGTGATGTGCTCTTGTTTTGACTTCTTTCTTAATATAAACGTACGGATGAAATGCGGTTCAAAAAAAATTAGAATTGGACTGATGTTCACAGCTTGCCATTAAAGGGTGGCCGAGGAAGCCCCACAGATGCAAAGAATGTACATTAAGAGAATGAATATCATAAATCGGACCAAAGTTGTACCAGATTTGACGGATGTTATTAATGTTAGTTCCTGTAACGATCAGCGGTCAATTCAACAAACACACTATATTTTTTTTACAGTACTAAAAAAAATTTGATTCTCCAGTTTATATTAGGCACAGGTCAAAACTTACATTTCCTTCCCATAATTGATAAAAAGTAACGAAAACATTGACTAGTGATGTATTCCCAAGCGAAAACGAAAAAAATGTGTTGTAAGAATTTTTTTTTAAACTGCTCACACCTACTGCGCAGTCGCAGAACAATCTGAAACCGAAACACGACGACACAACACGACGACGCACTACGAATCTTATACGAAGGGCCCAGAAAATACGGAAACTGCTTTATTACCAGGCTTTCTCAGCCTTTCCTTACACTTTGCGTCCGCTGAAGTGTTGATCATTGTTTTGTGTTTTTCGTTTCTGTTTTCCTTGTTTTTAATCGCTAAAAACATACTGCAAGACTTCACCTCAGGGGTCATGGTAATTGCTTGTTTGCTCTGATTTTTTTTCGCATTTCTTCTGTCTGCCTCAAGTTTGGTAGCAGGATTTTGGTGTCTTCTTGGCAACAAGTACATGACAACGTTATTATTATCATATTGGTCATTGAACATCTTCTGAATTCTTGTCCGTATTTCAATATGTGAGTTTAAGAAACGTCTATCATGGGAGACATGTCTACAGATCAAGATGCTAAAGGGGCTGGACAAGGCGTTATAAACCAAACTCAGAAGAGTTCTAATGAGTTGTACAAGTATGTCGACCTAAACGGCGGTGGGTGTCTTGTTGAAGCATTCAGGAGAGCTCAGGCAAGGAAGGACTTCACTGAGGTAGAAGAACTCGTCGAGGCATTTCGTGAGAAGTTTTTGTACAACAATGGGGCTGGAAAGGACGTCGATATAGAAGAACTTGTTCAATGGAGACTAAAGAGTCGCAAGGTTCAAAAACCATCTAAGAGAGAAAGCTCTTTGAAGGCTTGCTTTACTAAATGTTCAAGTCGAGTGGAGGATACGATCGAAGCCGTTGGAACAGATCATTATGCAATGAAAACTGAGAACATTGGTACGTACGGTTCATGCATTATTTCATTTATTAATCATGTTTTATTGTCTCTAAGGTACAGTTCTGCAGAAATTGTTTTTAAACTATACGGACATCAGTTTGTCCATATAAAAGTATTTTTGAGTAATACAGACCTTATGTTTTTCTCATATAAAGCGTTACGCTGATAGAAACAAATGTTTAAAGCATTCATGATCTCACGTTGCGCCTCATTACTTTGTATTAGCTTGGGACCTTGTACCTGATGCCTGAATGAGGTCATAATTGAACATATTGTATGAAATAGGTCAAAAGTCATGTTGATTCAGAGATTCAGAAGCAGATGCAGATGAAATTTAAACATGCTGATCGCCATTTCATCTATTGGTGACCAGAATTTTCATTTTGCTTGCTAGCATGCTACTAACTTGAAGTCTTGTTAATAATGTTCTTCCTGTAAATGACAGCGCTGAACACTTTGCACCCTCACATCAGTATGTATATTCTCCATATTGTTCTCCATACTTTTCCAAAGATGCTGACAAGAATCTAGAGTTTCTTTAGTTGGTGATCATTTCCTTTATTTTTGTGACCCTATTGTGATTTATGGTGATATTTTAAGGAGAAGTTAGGCTCAAAGCAAACAGTAAAATACATTAACCCTTTCACTCCCAAGATATGATTAGTAATTCTCCTTACTATCTGCCATACAATTCTTATGATGTTAGTTCAGAGAATTTGGTATTGGATCAACTAATAATCCCATGATTGATATTCTTCTCTATTCTCATCACCTGCCTGCTTGATATTGTATTGATATTGTAAGGAGAAATTCTGTGTTGGTCACTTGTGGGAGTGAAAGGGTTAAGATTAAAACCTAGAGACTGAGAGAGGTTGGAAACCTTTCTTGCAAGCATTATAATGTGTCAGGAGCAATAAGCTAGCTAGGACTCAGTTTCAACTCAAACAATTCTTTGAATTCAAGTGAATTTTCATCAACAAATCGAACTGCACACACCTAAAGCAGCTACTTTTGTTTATTATATTCTAGGATCTAATAGCACACGTTTTTTTGTTTGTTACAGAGAGTACGACAAGATCTGTTTGCTGGGATATCAACCAACGTGCTGCTGTGGGAGAAAATGTCCTTCACTTGTGTTTTCTGAATGCAACTCAAGTGCACTATGATATAGCCAAGTTAATCATAAAGAAATTCCCTTCTCTTGTCAATGATATTTATATCAGTGATGAGTTTTATGGTGAGATGAATATCATTTCATAGTTATTCTACCACTCAAAACGTGTAATTAAGTATTATTCTTAAATAAGCTGTCACTAGGATTTTGAATTGAAGCACTTTTACTGATGTTTACCTTATTTCCTTGAATAAGTGTGCACGCTCTAATAAACACCCTCTCTCTGTCTCAATTTAGCTCCCACTCCTTTAGACCATAATGTTAATCAAGTGCTTCTCTCAAATAAATGCTCCCTGCCATCCACACTTTCTTTAATAGTAGGGATACAGGGAAAACCTGTTTCTGTTACCAGCTTTAACTATTATTATTTTTAAGTTTCAACTACAGCAAAATCAGCAGAGGAGAATAGTTTCTGTTCTGTAAAGTCACTCCTAGTTATTCTATATCCATGTGCTTGCAGAGTTCCTTTATGTGTGTTATTGGTTCTATTAATTTTTGTTCTATTGGCACACTGACTTAATGAGGCCCCTCCCCCCTCCCTAGATTAAACACCCGCCTTGCAATAAGCACCCCTGATAAGATTGGTGAGGCCTGATATTTTGGTGCAGGTGCGTGGCATGACGTTGTTAAAACCTAAACAGCTTGAAGCTCATATATATGTGATTATACACACGTGTTATAGCTTAAGGATTTGTGCTCGTAGGTGAAAGTGCCCTGCACATGGCAATTGTCAATGAAAATCAACATATGGTTCACATTCTGTGCAAGAATGGTGCAGACATACATGAACGTGCCTACGGAGCTTTCTTTTGTCCTGAAGATCAACGAAAATCAAGAAAAGATCGTGCAGGGCAGGAGACTATTGTTCTTACTGATGAGACAAATTATGAAAGGTACATAAGAAAGCAGAGTTTTTCTGTAGATTATTATTTTTTTATTAAGTGTAACTGTGTTTGTCTTAAAGTTTTAGTTATTAATAACTCTTAAAATTATCTTTCCCCCTCAGTTGTATTACAGCAATCTAAAAAAAAATGGAAGATGAACATAAAGCAATTGAAATATTAATCTTAATGATAATTAAAATAATTATGATTATTGGTAGTAAATGAGAATTAGTTTGATGATCATATACAGGAAAAATTATACATGTCTAATTGGCTGAAAATGGGTGAATTTTTCATGTAACACGAGGGCAAAATTGTAACACAAGTGCAAAGCTGCAACACAAGTGTGAATAACAAACAGTGTGTTGTGCCAAAATTGCTTGTGTTGCGACTTTCTCTAATTCGTTTATCATGGAAATTATTAACAACTAACATCATTATTTCTTGCACAATTAATTGACGTAAATAAAAACTTGTAAGTTTTTCAGAGACTACAAATTGTACTTGCCCTATGAGCTCAAGACATGTAATTTTGTTATGTTTGAAAAATTTACTTGTGCTTATAAACACCAAATTGTACTGGCAATCATATTGTTTCCTATACTTGTTTGAATCCCTAAAACAGTATACAGCACATGTATGATTTTTTAAGAAAGAAACCAATTACAAGTGCACTTTGCTTCATTGTAAATTAACAGAGAATTGGTATGATGTTACAAAACATGTTCTTGGTTTACACTTAAATTTTGTAAGTTGTAAAATGTCCTTTGTTTCTTACAGCAACACTTATTTTGGAGAATATCCATTGTCTTTTGCTGCATGTCTTGGTTTAGAGGATATGGTGCGATATTTCATAGTCAAAGGGGCGTGTCCCA